GTAAGCATCTAATAAGCTATGTATTATCCAACTGCTTTATTTCATATGGAGATCTTATAGGGAAGGCAGAGCAAAGCAAATAGAGAAGCTGTTTGAGACAAGTCTTACGCTCTGTTCGCATCGGATAGCTCATGAGATGAAATGGTTACACTAGACAAAATGAACAAAGCAGCAGAATTGGTTCAATTAAGAAAAACTCTCAAGTTAGCAGAAACGATTCAAGTGCACAAAATACACAAACTAGATGAATTCAATCGACTGGTTAAAACGGTCAAATTAGCTGAAACGATTCTAGTGGACCGAAGGCACAAATTCAGATGTTTTAAATGGACAAAATCCAACAACTTGCTGAATTCCTTCAGCTGGTTAAAATGGTCAAATTAGCTAAAACAGTTAAATTGAACAAAAAGCGCAAATTAGGTGAATTAAGTGAAAGAGCCAGGTTCCCGGTATACCTACCAGTAAAATTGTGATCCGCGAGCAGTTGTCCATCTCCTGGCCGCAAACGAAGATTTCAAAGGACGCGTTCACACACTGTCCGATCCTTACTGTGAAGTTATTCGGCTGATCAATATCGACTATAATGTTATCGTGGTCCACAAAGGGCATCACGGGTCGACAACAGAACGGCGTTTCATCGAACAAGCCATACAGGATAGCGTATGAGCCAACGACACCCCGGCAGCCCCAGTACTTTATAGAATTACTCTAAAACGTCTGACCGAGAATGAGGTTGCCACACAGTGATGTCATCTGATGATGTCATCTGGTGATGTCAGTGATGTCATTTGTGTACTTCGTGTCGATAGCCACTTGACTAGAAGTCACAGTTTCGTCATTACTTTCCTCGCTACCTTCAAAGTCCACCCTGCATGACTTTCATCACACGGCTTTTGCATTTTCTAATTCACTGCATTGTTACGGTAATAAAAAAGGGTGCTACGTTCTTTATTCCTAGATAAAGATGAAATTGAACTAGTACGCTGAGCCTGAAAAAAAGGATGTATTTTTCTTGAGGTAGGAATAAGTGTTCGTGTAGGTTAACAATTAACCAAAGTATCTCTCACCAGACACCGAAATGGCTTGCGTCAGATGGCCTTTATATAGCAGCAAAGTGTGATCGTAAATAATATACATGTACCCACGTGAAAAAGTGGGGTATGTTATTCAATTTTACTCGTATACTGCACTGAATAGAGTACGACATTTAAGCTTGACATTTTCATAAATTCTCGTACCTAATATGAAAGGAAGTTCGCTAAGACTCTACCATTCATTCAAAGTGAGGAGACTACTGTTTTCGCAATCATGATATGACACAACCACAGAATGCGAAGTCGTAATTTAGCTCAAAAGTACTTCCATAGAACCTACATTTTCCATCTCAAAATACGTTTGAATATTTATTGGACACACTAAAGGAATTTCGTTAACGTCTCCGCATAACCACAGAACGCGGAATGATGTAATGCTCATTAAATACAAAATGAGCACTGATACGTCCGCCGAATCCACAATGTCCACCATAAAAGACATATGAACTCTTACAAGAGCTGATAGTGGCCATCATTCTAAAAAAACACGCTATTTTACCCTTTTGGCATTTATTATCCCCAACCTCCGCCCTATCCACTTATCTTCAAATAAAAAAAGGTCATAAACACATTATCGTGTTACTGCAAAGAACTTCAAAGCAGTGCTAAGACTTCATCAGAATCCACATTTTCCAACGCAAAATATCATTAAGTTTAAAGAATGATAGAGGCTCTCATAAATAATGAAACCCATATAAACCTGCATGTGGGTTTCTAAGTAAAAACTTATCAAATAAGAGCAGATTTATCGGATTTTAAGGATATATCCGAGTTGCTCTTTTATGTACAGAACTTAATAAATCAATGTTTTCTCCCTCGTTTCTACTTTAGATAAGAGTGCATTTATTGGATATTTTGGAATGCACGGAAAAATAAAAAAATTAATAAAGATATAAAATGATCACAATAATGTCATCATTTTAATAATAGTTTGATTATAATATAATGATAACAATAATATTAATAATAAAAATAATTGTTATAATTATAAAAGACTTATTTCAATATTAAAATATTTTTTCTAATTTTTTTTATCTAACATTTCCACAAAATCCATAATATCACCCTGGATCTAAGAAGAGTTTAGGGCTTAGGCTTAATACTGGAAGGTAATATTCTACACTTTTACAATAACTACGTTTGATTTATTGGATGTTTTGGACTTAACGAACACATTCATTCCATTAAATAATTTATTGAATTTCGTCAGCATTTCATTGTTTTTGTTTCATCTCCATCTGTTCGTTATCTCGCAATGTGACACTTTCAATAACTTCGTTGGATTTATTGGGTGTTTTGGACTTGACGGAAACTTTCATTTTTCCTTTCATAAATTCAGCTCACTTATTTTTTATTGATGGTCGTCAAGATCCCGCCATCTTTTTTTTCATTTCAATTTATTTCTTGCGGTTAGATATCTTGGACTTCATAGAAATGAATTATGTTTACGTGAAATACGAGACATGAGCATGTTTTAGTTCTGCTGAAAGTTAAAGGAAAAATACTAGCCCTCTCGGTGATTGTTCCTCTTTGAAGGAACCCTTTGACGAAAACAGTCGAAGTTCAGGCGACGTTTTTAAGGACGCAACACGGGGGCGAGAAGATAAGTGCTTCATGAAGTTTTTGACCAAAATTTCTCGAAAGTTAAATCTCAAAGCTAAGTTGACCCTTGATTTAAACGTAACCTACAGGAACAAAGAATTTCGGGAAATGGTGAGAGTCACCAGGGTCAGCGGTAGAAATGCTGCATGGACGTGTTCCTTCGATGTCCACAAAAGTTTACTTATTTCTCGCTATCTTTACTGTATTTGTACATTTTTCTCATCGAAAATCATCTTCAAACAAAAGACTGTTTACATAATGAAGTATGGGGCTGTGTGGAAACTTTGCCCAAGTTACTATGTGAATTTTGTTGCTACATTTAATTATGAATACTTGAGGGTATGCGGGGATATTTTTCCTAATCCTGGACCGAATGAAAATGACAATGCGAACAGTCGTAAATGTCGCTCCTTGGGCCTTGTATCACTCAACTGTCGCAGCCTTTTACCATGCATTGACGAATTGAGTTTAATCTTTAAAGAAGCTAAACCTGGAATTATAGCAATTACTGAAACTTGGTTAGATGATTCGGTAGCGGACCATGAAATTCACATTGCTGGATATAATATCATACGTAAAGATCGTCAATTTCGTCGAGGTGGAGGATGTGCGATTTATTCTGAAGGTATCAAGCTAAAACATCGCCAAGACCTTGAACACAATGAACACGAAGTTCTTTGGGGGTGAAATCAAAATTCAAAATCTAACATACTTGTTTTACTGAGTGTATAAGGCGCCAAACTGTTCTACAAACGCATTTTTCGCTTATCTAGACGATGTCCTGAGATCTGAGTTAAGGCAAGGCAAAGAATTTATTATTACTGGAGACATTAACAGTAATCTTCTCGACGAATCTCTACCACAGACATAGAGAGCTATTGAATTTATGGATGTAAATCAGCTCAGCCAACTTATCAGTAAACCAACAAGGATTTCTTCTGGTTCTGTCTCTTTGATCGATGTAATCATTACCTCAGCTCCACAGCTGTTTTCTAAAACTGGGGTGCTTCGGAATTCTTTAAGTGATCATTTTCCTATTTTTGGGCCTTGGGCCTCTCGTTGTACCTACCTTATGATGTTACCTCTTATTTAATGAAACATCATGGGGTCAACCTACTGTTTTCCTTTCCAAGATGTTTTATTACTTCTGTTTTTTTTCATACTGACTAAATGCGTTGTTATGTTGAAGCTCTGAAGCATGCTTTGATCTTTTTTCGCATTGTTATCCATTCAAAGTTATCCTCCGAAAAGTGCTGCGTTGTTAGTCTTACTTCGACTTTCCGATACTGCACTCAGAAATTCAATACATTTTAATCTTATTCCTTCAGCAGACAGGAAATAAAGTAGCCACAAGCCTTTAACATAAATATAGACTTTGCTGAGTCACATTCCTGAAAGTTACCAAGCTTTGATTGGTTAAACCAACAAATTAAACAAGAGCACCCAAAAAGTGCATATGGTTACTAATCGTTATGGGTGAACACACAAGGTTAACCTTTCCTGCAGGTTGTTGTCTCTCTGGGTCTGTAGTCTACCTTTTTCCTTGAAATGTGGTAGTTGATGGGACAATATAAATCATTTTAAAAATTCGTGTTGTAATGGTAAAAGTAGTCTCCTTAGCAGCCGTTGTTTGGTCTCGTCACGCAACGCGCTCTCTCGGGGAGATAGCACGTTGCATGACGAGACCAATGAACAGATGCGAAGGAGAACTGAAAGAACTCCAAAAGATTTTGATAAGTTTTCGGTCTCACTTTGAAAGTTTGTTAGAAAGTTTCTGAAAAGTCACAGGAAGATACAAAATGATCGAAACCATCCGCACCACAGGTAGTCTTCAAAGTCCGTCTGTGTCAAATTTCCGTAAGCAAATGTTTTCAAATTTGAACGCTGCGATTTAACTGCCTCTTCGCCTGGTCAACCCAAACTCCGGTTTTTTCCCTTCGTACATCGCTGTTGCTTAATTGCAACCGCGTGATCTTTTTTTACAGGCTTTCACCCTGCTTGAAATTGGAAGCAAACCTCTCAGTCTTCTGCTTCAGAGGCGGAATGCATTTTTGAGAGCACAATTTAACTCTTGTCTGCAGAAGTGTTTAAATCACTGATAACTAAGATAATTAAATTAAATCAAACAGATGATGACCCTCAGCTGTTCCCACGACTCCTGTTTCACATCAGATCGTAAGCGATACCACAATCCTCAAAACATGAAAAAAACAAAACAACACAGAAAAACGGCTAGGTGTTGAAATTCTACACACGTTGGTTTATATATAAGTTTAGGCACTGAAATATAAAGTAGGCACTGACGGAGGGAAAATCTCAGTTTATTGTTTAGCAAATCAGTCATGACTTCTCCCTGCAGAAGTGTTCTTGGAAAAGACGCCATACTGAAAGAAAAAAAAAGAAACGTAAACTTTAATTGTCAGGTGACAGACCTTGTTGAGGGTGAACGGCGCAAAGGAGAAGCGAACAGTAAATCATTATTATCTCCTGCTCATCATTCATAATCACCTATGAAAAGAATATATCAGTAACAAAACAAGTACAAGGCTTTTGGATTTTCTTCCGCTTACCGGAGGCTCTATAAATGAGGATAAATGGCAGACGGCGGAGGACGAAAAAAAAAAAAAACAATGAATGAATAAATCTCTTTATTTTCTAGCAAGGTAGTCATGAGGTGAATGCGAGCGTTCTGATTGGTTTTCAATCGGTCGGGATTTTGCCATATGGACCGTTTCAGCAGAAACGGTCACAAACCACTTTGCAACTGAAAGTGCGAAAAGGAAACCCGTAAATATTCTCACACTTTGTTAAAAAAAAAAAATTATTAAACAAGTCACCAAACGAATGATTACAATCATGGAAGACGAAAAAAATGTATCATTCAAAATATAATTTTTATTATGATCTGGAAACCTCTGAAACAAGGAGAGGCGAAAGCCAGGAAAGTATTTACGACTTTGCCTTGCTAGAAAAAGTGTATCATTTGACTTCAGTATTTAAGCGGAAGAATGACAAGATTTACACACGCCATTGCTGCAAACGAATGAGCAGACTCTCACAACTTCAAAACATGCATTTGAATTTGCTTACAATTTGACTTTCGTTGACATTTAAAGCTGGACAGAGGCAATTCTTTGTTGAATAATCGTCGATGGAAGAGAATAATACTTTCCGTAGGAAAAATTAAAAAAAAAAAGTCCTCGTTATAGTCAGTTAACTCAAATTTGCTTGCCAAGCCAGTCACTGTTGCTTTTTTCAAAGTGTACGTGGGCTTCTTTTTATTACGCACTTTCTGATAAACAGGTGTCAGATCATGACGGATACTTCAAGTATAAAAAAATGTTTCAAAGTTTGCTTGGAATCTTTTAACTCAATTTTATCATTACCCATTAAAGAATGTTGCGGCGGGGACTCTCATTTTAAATTTGCATTACCTCTGCCTTCTGTACCATCTACTCGCTCAAAAATGGTTCTATTTATGGAGGATCTTGCCGTAATTAGAGCTCTAAATCATGACGGTTCTTTTGGACAACATTTCGTTTAGGTTTAGAAAAAAAAAAGGTTGCTGAAGAATGACATAGTTAAAGATATAATTAAGTGACCGTACCGTAAATGAAATGAAACATTGTTGCAATTTTTAAAACTTCCCATATTTTCCGACGAGTAATTGTCCGTCTAGTAGCACAAATTTCTATCTTCTTCCGTCCTCAATGAGTTATCAGATATATAGATGCAGTGAGGGTCCAACCCTCGGCAGATTTACGACCTCCACTGCAATATCCTACAAGCTGTATAAGGTCCACTATTAGAGGAGTAATTAGCAGCATAATCTCACCTCAAAAGTTAACGATTGCTCGAATGCTGAAAAAGAATAAATTATCATTAGTGGAAAATTAAGGGATCATTTCCTGATTCAGTGCATGCATAGGCTTCAAATAGGACCAAATTTTCTGTCATTAGTCCTGCGTTCGCGGTCAATGGGTTATAACAGTTTAATTTATCTTGACGATAGTTCGGAGGGTCGCCAAAAATTGTAGTCTCTGTCAGTCATACCAGCAAAGGCTTCGCACAATCTTTTTTTACTACGGGGCTTACTCACATTTGCGTCAGGAAAAATACGGGTATCCTCTGTTGTGTATGGCACAAAGCGGACCATTTTATTCATTGTTATCTACTATAGCTATTTATCATCTGTAGTCTATTTGGCTTAGGAGTCCTGACAAGGGAAGTAAGCCGTGTCTGGCCTGTTCCAGATTTCCCGTCCTTTTTCCTGCGGGATTTGGGCAGTTTTTTTTCTGGCCACCCTGACTTGCTTACTAGTTTTTAGGACATTCTGTTTTTCAGCCAAGATAACCGTTATCTTCCACTTGTTGTGAACAAATTAGTTTGAAGGAGATTATAAGAGCCCACAATCCGATGTTCTCCTAATTTATTTTGTCTTGTTTTTTATTACATATTCTTCGAATTAAGTGCAGAATGTAATAAAATGACTGAAAAACACAAAGTAATGGAGAATGTTCTTAACTAAATCTAATCCCATCGCTCCTTTTCCTTTCTTCCCTTTCATTGTACAATTTTTTTTTTTTACTTAATCAATTAAAAAGTAATTCCCTTAGCAATATCAATATATTAACAAATATTTACCGAAGTGGAGGTGGGAGTGGGAATATTGTTTCTAATACACCCACCTTTTCCCATCATGCATAAGGTCAAACGCCTCGTTGATCTTGTCCAATGGTAGCGTATGGGTGATAAACTCATCCACCTTTAACTTGCGAGCCATATATTCATCCACAAGTTTTGGAACACTGTCACAGCTCTTCCAGCCTGCATGTCAAAACAGAATCAAAATGTAATAACCTAGTTCCTTTCAATAATTTCCTGTTATATTACAATCAAATACCAACTGGATAGTTAATAATAGACAAAGCTTTCACAGAAGGGTTTACACTGGACAGCATGTGTCAGACAGAATTTTTAAATAATTGAAAAGACTCGAGGTGCAGTGGAGAAGCGGGGGAAGAAAAAATTGAAATAGATATATAGCGCTTTGTATGTGAAAATAATAAACCTAGAGCTCGGGGAGTTATCACAAGAAAGGACTGAAAATTAACTGAGAAATGAGTTGAAACAGGGAAGCGGTCCAAAGCCGCTGTTTGAGATCAGTTTAATTTCACTTTCCCAATATGAACATGTCAGCTACTTCCCGATACATTCTTTAAGTCCGGCACCCTGGACTCTTTTAAGGTGTAGATAAACTCATGTATTACATCATGCTTCGTTTTAGGTTGCAGAAAATTAAGCTAAGCGGCAATAACACATCGCGAATGGCACTTTGATATGTTTGGGTTTGTTTAAATGAGAAAAAAAGTTAAAGAATGCTAACATTTATAAGGAGCCCAAACGAGGAACAGATAATAAACAAAAATGAAGTTTGATTTCAACACATATCATCTCATCAATTTAATATGAAGTAAAATGAAAGTAATGTGTTCAGGAAGAAAGACACGTTTCTACCATTTACTGAATGAGAATCTGAATCAAGTGACAAGTGAGCTGCGAATTTATACATCTAATTGCTTCTGTCGTGAAACAAACTGACTTTTCTGGGCAGCGAATATAGATGACAATTCCTGCACTCTGTTAAAATAGATACCAGAAAAAATTCAAAGTATGATGACCCATGGCCTCCAAACTGACATTACAGTTTTGTTCTACAATGGCTATACAGTCAAGAATAAAATCTCTTCAGGGTTGGGATGACGACCCATGACGACTCAGATCCTTTCCTTATCCCTCATTTGTGACTAAAATGAGGCATTGCTTAACTCAAACAAGAGAAAGGAGGGAATAAATTATTGCAGAGCGCACCTCCAAATGCAGTTCCTTTCCATGTTCTTCCTGTCACAAGTTGAAAAGGTCTAGTAGAAATCTCTTTTCCCGCAGCGGCAACTCCAACAATAACGGATGTTCCCCATCCCTTGTGGCATGATTCCAGAGCAGCACGCTTGGTTTAAAACAATAGCTGACTAAGTCTTACAGATACAGGTACCAGTAACTTTATTAAAACAATGACAATTATAATGAATATGAGGCGGTGACCTTATTTGTTACTCTCAAAATACTTATGACTGCAAAGATGATTTTGACATTGGTAATAATTCACCTTCAATAGTTAATTCATTATCTCATTTCTTTCATTGCAAATTTTAGTATAGCATTCACTATTTTAAACTTGTATCTGAATACATTAACATCTTGAATTTTTGAGGGTGTCAACAATTTTTTTCATGAATCCAAGCATTTTCTAGCTTTCTAACATGTCCATTTTCTCAAAGTCTCTAACCATTTTTTTTTTCGAATAATAATAATCTACAGTGAAAATGGTTTCACTAGATAAAATGGTCTTAACAGATTAAGTCCTTCAGCCACCTTGAATTGTCTTAGTCGATAAAATGGTCTTAGCACTGAAACTGTTTAAAATATAAACACAAAATGGTCCTTCTGGTAGAAATGATCTAATGGGGAAATGGTCCAAATGGTTGAGATGATCCAACCAGTTAGAGTGGTCCAACTGGTTAAAATGGTCCAATCACATGAAGTGGTCCAACTGGTAGTAAATGGTCAAACTGGTAAAAATGGTGTTATTGGTTTAAATAACTTTATAAGATAAAAAGGTCTAGCTGCCTTAAATTCCCTTACAAGGAAAACGGTCTTACTAGTCAAAATGGGCTAACTACATAGAATGATCCAACTGGTTAAAGTGGTCCAAAAGGTAAAAACGGTAAAGCTAGAAAAATGGTCCAACTGGTTGAATGGTGTAACTGGTAAAATTGCTCCAACTGGTTAAAATCGTTCAATTGGTGATAATGGTCCAACCAGTTAAAATGATCTACCCAGATGAAATGGTTCAACAGCTTAAAATTGTTCAATTGGTTAAAATTAGGTAACTAGATTAGATGATCCAACTGCTTAAATTGGTCTAACTAGATAAATATGATCCAACTGGTTCAAATGATACATGGGCTAAAAATGTAAAACTACAAAAAATGGTCCGACAACTTGAAATGATCTAACTATGTTAAAATGGCCAACTGATTTAAATGGTCTAACTAGATAAAATGGTCCAAAAGCTGAAGGTTACTTCCCACCATCAGAGGCCTTTAAAAGTACCTTTTTTTTTAATTTGACTAAACTGAATTCAAACATTCAACCTAACGTTTCCATAAAAAAATATCTGAAATCTTTAAAAGTACCCGAGATATTGAGAAAAACGTATTTCAAATAAAAGTTAAGCTCCACGCTGGCGTCAAGATTTCGAACAAAGAAGTCGCCGTCAAACCAAAACTTGCCAAACTAAAGTTAAAAATGAGGTTTCCTTTTCTTCATGCATGAACCAGTCTTGATACAAGAACATTAAAAATCGCCTCGAATTGTGATTTAGAAAGCTGTCTGTCGGTTCGTTGTCTTGCTCCACAGAACATTTTCCAGTTTTTCCATTTTTGCCGCGGGTTGTGCGTTTGCCTTTGGCAACTTTGCTCATTACTGTGTCGTCCTCATCAATGCTTCACTAAGCGATCAAGATCTTGATCCATCGTCATTGACGTCCGGAGGTCCCGATGTTCCATTGGTTTTCGGTTTCATTCCATCAGGAATAATGATTTGATTCAAACGAAATTTATAGGGTAAACAAATTTAACAGATTTTCGTCAAGTTTCGACAAAACATTCCAGGAATAATGACAAACGAAAGAATGTCGGGAAATCTTGATATTTGAAATATTTGTTCCGTGGTGTCCATTTACACAATACGCCGCGCATATTTTTAGCTACTCAAACTTGATGCCGCTATACAGACAACCAATAAGATTATCAAAAAAGCCGGGCACACATTCGTTGATTGATGCCTTGTGAATAAGACTGTGCAGCCATTTTGCTCGTGTTGCGGCATCCGATACCCCATAAATTCAATAGCAGAACTTTCGGTCGTTTCACGCCTTACCAGCTCCTAACACTTCCCCAAAATAAAAGTCGCTTAACTGATATTTTCATCGTAATCTGTTGTTATTGAGCCTTTTTCTGATGTATAATTTGCTAGTGAAATTAGCGCGTGCAGGAATTTTTTTCCTGAAGGACACCACGGAGGTAGGAAGTAACCCTAAAATGGTCTAACTACATAATGAAAACTACAATGAAAATGATGAAATTCGAACGAAAATAAAGCGCAGGAGAACTATACAAAATGTTTGCTTAGTAACCACAAAGTTATTTTACAGAGGAAAGTCTGGATTGAGTCACATAGTTTCACTCTAAACAACAAACATCATAGAAAGGTTTTTTCCCCCATCAGAATATTCCTGTTTGTGAACCATACCAATTCGCTTTACTCAAAACAAAACGAAATTTAGCTCCTGATAAATCTGTTTCGTGTACTTGGAAATCATTTTTGCAAAATACTCGAAAACAACTTTCAATGGCCGGAACAACAGCAAAATGGCTAGCTTTTTTAGAGAGTTATTTTCCTCGGAGGACGACGATTTTTTTCATCAAAGGAAAATATATTGTTTTCCTACCTAACAAAATTAAGGAGATAAGAATCTCTTTTTAATTTCTCCAAATTAGTTTACTTTCTTGGTAAAGGTAAGTTATGATTATTGGGTTTGTTTTACAACTAAGCTCACAATGATAAATGCTCTGAAAACGTTCTCCCACAAGAAATGTAAAAACTCACGTATAAGCCACACTCATAAATAAGCTGCACCCCTTAATTTCAAGCACAATTTTGAAAAAATGAGTAAAGGGGAATAAAAACCAAAGATTCACATCCCAGGAGCGAAATGGCTTGTGTGACAAAAGGAAAGGTCATATCAAATGAAATGTTTAAAACTCAAAACATTGTAGATAGGCTGCCAAATATGTGTAAAATATAGCCAAAACAGGTAAACCAAATCCCTTCAAAACATGCTAAAGCAATTGTCAAAAATGTATGACATATAGCCATATGGCAGCCTAAAAGAAATGGGAAAATCAACTTGAAGAGAAGAATTTGAATCACTCATGTGGGACGACATAATATTTCCTTACTGATATTTGGAACTAGTGCCGTCACCGATTAAAAGACTTTGAAGCCCGTTTTTTTCCAGTTGAATACTCGTATGTACGTTTCCTCTTTATTTGTGAAGTCTAGAAAGGTGTATTTTGATCAAAAATGGAGCAAACATTTTGCCAAAAAGACGCCGCTATTACACAGAATTGGCACCAGAGAGTCAAATTCACCGCAGAAAAACAAGTCGTAATTTGCACACTCGATTGACTTGCTTTGTGCCCGCTTTGAGCTAAATCGTTTTTCCATCTGATATATATATTTTTAATTTCTCTAATTAAAAGGGATAATTTAGTATGCTCATTCAACGGCAAAAGACCATCGTATCTGTTAACCTTGTCCATTGATTAAAAAACAATATCGTGATCTCAAAATGCAAGCACGCTTATTCGCCTGGTTGTGTGACTTTAAATGCGCAGTACAGAATGCGCCGTTCAATACTGGAGGAATTACCCCAACATGGTCTTACTAGAAAAAATGGTCCAACCACAAAAAAGGATCTGCCCAGATAAAATGGTCCAACTGACAAAAATGGTCAATCTGGTTAAAATAGTCCAATTGGTTGAAATGGTGAGACCAGTCAAAATTATCGAACCGAAGCCAGACAAAATGGTCCAACCAGTTAAAATAGTCTAACTAGAAAAATGGTCCAGCTCGTCAAAATGACACAACTTGTTGAAATGGTCAACTACAAAAATGGTCCAACTACCGTATTTAACCACAGATAGGCCGCACCCATGTATACGTTACATCCAAAACTTTTAATTAATATTGGTGGGAAAAAATATTAGTGAATTGCGATCAGAAGTTGCATAGCTGTCGTTATAAAAACCCATTAAGAAAGAAAACTTGCAAAATTTATAAAAGCTGGATTAGAATAAAATGACCAAGAAGCCGCAGTTGTCTTCACTTAGGCTTCCCTCCATGATCTTAAAACTTATTTTTAGAGTTTATTCTGAATATCGCTAACCAAAAAATAATTCGAATTTATGCTACCCCACCACTATTGTGAATACTTTCAATTGTTTATGATCTGATGTAAAGCACGAGCTGTTGGAACAGTTAAAGTACACTGGCTGATTGATTTAATTCAATTATCTTACGTCAACATTAGCGTCTGGATCGATCGGTACCACGTATTAACTTATTTTAACTCTTAAACAGACCAGAATCTTGTGCTTTTCAAAATTCATGGAATTGACTGCTGTATATCGTGAATGTCACTCGGTAAAAAAGGAAACCTGCAGTCACAAATAAAAAATTCCTAGGTATTTCATTTCGGAGCAGGAGACTGAGAGGTTTGTTTTCAATAGCCAGCAGGAGAAAATTGTAAAGAAAATCTTCACGTCACAACGCAAATACAACAATTTGAAAAACAGAACTTTGAGCTATTATGGATATCAATGAGGTGTCAAAACGCAAAATAATTTAACTTTTTTAAGATGCTCCATTTACTTAAAATGCTCTAGCTCAATAAAATAGTCCAACTTCTCTTATTATTTAACTAAACACAATGGTCCCACTGGTTAAAATGGTCAAAATGGACTATTTGCTACTATTTAATTATTGCTTGAATGTCCATCAGTCAATATATTCTTGAATCATCTTTCTCTTGTGGAACAAGGTACTCATTAATGTGGGATGCGGCGGGGGCGAATACAAATCTTCTGCAACACTACTTTCTGGCATGATAACATTTTTGTTCAATGCTATAAAATTTGTGCTCTATCAATAGCCACATGCAGTATTTTTTCCTAATTTTCTTCAAGAGATGATGGCTTTAAAGGGTTCGTGCTGGTGTCGCCAGAGCAGGAGGATCATACAAGCCAACATAAGGAGGTTTAATTTCACAGTTTTCAAATACTTTCTTAAAGATCTGTCAGCGGTGTATTCTCGAAATACTAGACCATAATCAAACCATAACCAACTCAGTATGCAGTCTCAGTTTTCACGGCAAACGTACCCTAGAGACAAAACTTCCTTCGCCCTCATCTTGTAAATGTGTAAGCACAGACTTTTCTAAGAGGGTAATCATGTAATTACAAGGAAATAAAGGCAGTCCGAAAACGCGAAGTTAGCCTCCCGTACCACCTCAGGGTGATCCAACTAGAAAGCTGATCCAACTGGTTAAAGTGATCCAGCCACTTAAAATGGTCTAACGATAACTTGTTAAAATGGTCTAATTAGATAAAACGGTCCAACTGCCTAAAATAGTCTTACTAGATAAAATGGTCCAACTGCTTAAAATTGTCTTACTAGATAAAATGGTGCAACTGGTTTAAATGCCCCAATTTCTTAAAATGGTCCAACTATATAAAGTAGCTGAGCTGTTTAAAATGAACCAGCTGGTTAAAATGGTCTAACTCATTAAATTGGTCCACGGGTTAAAATAATCTAACTAGCTAAAAAGATTCAACTAAGTAAGCCACAGCAAACACACTTACTACACCGAAAACAGAAACAAATCCATATGTGCTTGCCAGGAGATCTATCAAAATTGCACCACTTGAATCAATTCCATCAACTGCAGCAACAACACCAAATATACAAAACACACATAAACCAGCAACAGCTCCAGTGCACAAATTACAGCACACCTGACACAACCTGTCAACAAATCCATAGAATAGTGAAATAGTAGTTACAAATAAGTTGTGGATTCTCAGCAAAAAGAAAATTCATACCATAGTTCCAACGTTCCCAACACATTCAAAGGTGTAGTCCAGGCCTCCATCTGTCATCTCTATCAAAACCTAAAGACCAGGATTGTCAACATCAATGTCAGGTGCTCCATTATTTAAATTTGTACAAATCATTTTTTTAATATTTACCTCTATAATAGTAACTACAATGGTGTGAGGATCCTTCAGTAATTGGATACCAAACACCAGAATGGATGGTCATTTACATTATGGTAATTAACATTGGTTGTAGGATTGAGTGAAGGCCTATTTGGTCTGTAATCCAACAAGGAATGAACAAAATCAATGGTGAGCCTAATAACAATATTTAAAATATAGTTTAAAACAACAGAGATCACAAAGACGCTCTTGGGAGTAAATCAAACAAACTCTATGGTCTGTCTCCCCTAAGCCTGGCACTAAACCTCTTTTTTTTTCTTTGCACATTTCACCATTGACAATGGTAAGACCTGTATAGTAAATATTGCCAGGACAACTCTAGTCTAATATTTCAGTTACACAATGTGAGAGGAAAGGTTTATAATTGTAACTCACTAAAGTGAATTTTAAAATTCCCTCCTTGAAACCTTTCGAACAAACAAGAGACTGATTATGTTCTCAGAAGCACAGACCAGGTTGGAATTTTTACCTTTTAATAAGCATTTTGAACCAATTTTTCAAACAATGCTAAAGCAATATTATCTAGAGGTTAGAATTGTTATTGAACGATAATTTTAATAATTTTCAATAATTGAAAATTAAATTGACTACTTGGGTGATTTATAACCATAGAGTGACTACTTGTACCTGTTGAATAGGCTTGTTGTGATCCTTGGGATTGACAAACTCGGTACAGCCAAACTCTTTGGCTGAAAGAAATAACAAATCATAAGATAAAGTTAATTAAAATTTGCTCAATTTTTAAGCACTGTGAAGATCAGTATGAGAAGGTATTGTTATAGAAAACTAAATCCATTGTCTACTACATGTACATTCCATTTAAAATTACAGGGACTAAAATTGAAAGTTTGGTTCAACATATTTTCAAAGTAGATGTTCAAATTCATTAGAATCTTTTCTGAGCGATAGGTACAGAGTAGTTGAAGTAGGGAGATACTTCTAAAGCTTTACACATGTGTGCTTGATTATCACTACCACTGTATTTTTCGAAATACCTATTTTAGAGCATGCACAAGCAACCCTTTAGAACTTCTAGAGCAAGTGTATATAAGGTATGCATATTTTAAAACAGTCAACAAACCTATTAGTGTTGAAATATCTTCCAAAGAACATATAGACATTGGGATTCACTGGTCAGCCCACTGTTTGCCATTCTTGTAATTTCATCACAATGAGCTTTGTGACATGAAACCTCTGTTTTGATCTGACCTCTTTATGAAGGATCCATCCTTTGACTGTACACCCTTCTCTGGGTGTACAGTCACAAAATGTTGTATCACAGTTCATTGTAGAAATCTTTTGAATACTTGAATGCTCTTGTCATTTGCATTATTTAAAACTATGGCTGTGATATGAATTATTTTAACCTCCTCAAAGTCCAGTTTTTCTTGGAAGCCAATAAAATGCGATGTTACTAGGGATTTGATGCACATTAATCATCAAAGGCCAATCTGCTTGAATTGAAAACTTTTCTCCTTCTATTGAACCAGGAAATATAATACATATCTTACCAAGCTCATTTTCTCAGTTCATGCTGCAAGTTATGGAACCTAGTTTTATCCGCTTGATTTATAGCCCACGCACCTTGGCCATAAATCCAAGTGGAAAAAACTTGGCCTGTAACTTACAGTACTACTTCCCTCAAACATGGTTAGTAAGAGATATGAATTATGGAAAGTCTTGAGCTGAATGGGGTAAACTCCTCAAAAAATGTACCTGTAGTAAATTTTTTGGGATTTAAATCAATTCCAATTATCCTTGAAGCTCCTGCTGCTTTACAGCCCATTGCCACAGCCAGACCAACAGCTCCCAGTCCCCAAATAGCTGTAGTAGATCCAGGCTCCACCTAATAAAGGGAATAGATTGAATGAGTCTTAAAAGCCACTGACCCTAAATATCGAGAGTTCAATAACAGTGGCAAAATTCATTTTATTACTCTTTAAGGACCCTTCTGAAGAATTCCTTCACTGTTAAACAATGAAAAATGAATAACACTTTTGAACCTTTTTATGCCACAGGATGGTGCCATTCTGCTTTGAAAAATGTATTGTGATCAATTACCCAAGTTTTATTGCGTGCTAACAAATAGTTCTTTAATAGTTTTGAAAATATAAATGTCTTGTCATGTTGTTATGTTAAAGTATGCACAGTGATTCTTTGTTTAATGTGCTTGGTGTTTTTTTTTGGCAAAGGTAAAATAAAGGTTAACTCTGAAGGCCTTTAACAAGGTCTGGTATAAGAGCTGCTGGGTTAGTGATCAGCTTTCTTGGTCAAAATGCATGACTTATGATAAAGGGAATCGTCATATTCATGGTTGGGTGCTTTCAGAAGAACAAGCCATGAATCAAGAAGGCTTAGACCAGTCCAGCTGAAAACAAATCTGAGTTGAAGCCTTGTTCATTGGATTTGAAGGGTGAGAGGTCGGTGTGTTGATTTTTGATAAGCCCCTGTTCAGGAGCCTACTCTGATTTCATCTCCAAATTCACTGATTTGCTGACTCCCAGCCTCAAGCCAGAACCTGCCTTCTTCAGGCTGTTATTATACACAATCATACTCTGAGTGTTAAGAAGGAGATTTAAGGGAATGAGCCTAGTGCTGTGTGAAACTGCAAACTGACTTTTGGCTCATCAATTGCGAGCTGAAATCTCTGAATGCTCTTCGAGATGTCTCGCTTTCAGATCACATCCTCAGCCAATACAAGGAACTTATGTTGGGCTTCCTTAGCACTTCCTGATGAACTCAAGATTGATGACATGTTCCTGACATTGACTTGTGCACTGAGAAGACGATCAACAAACACCTCAATTGACTGATTCAATCTTGCCCTCCCTGCTTGCATCAAGCCTTCTGACTTGCCTGCTGTGAAAAACTAAAACTATTTTACAACCTTATCATTCCTTATAAAATAAATTACACTGCCTTTGATGGTTTTTCCACGCTCATCACTGGACTCGTTAATACCAGGATAAGAGTTAAAGTTTCTGACGGTTCAACATTTGTCACATAAATGAAAATAGATTGGAGACCATGATTGTGAACTTATTTGTAGTGGAAGTCTGTAACTGATGAAGTTCCAAATTCTGCACAATTCACTTGCAAATTGCAGATCAACATCAGGGAACGATTTCACCAACATCTCTAGCTTATGAGGAAAGCACACATTGCTCAACAAGATTCATTTGAGCCTCCAGATGATAATAGCATTTTGGATTTGATCAAGAAAAGCACAATAAAGTCCTGCTCTCTGGATCCTCTACACGCAACAATTATGTGAAAATGCTTCCCTATACTAGTTTTTATTTTAAAGAATATTGTCAACTTGTCACTCACGTCTGGTAAGATGCCTAAAGAGCTCAAGTCTGCTATGATCAGACCTCTCCTCAAGAAACCTAATGCTAATACTGAAACCTTTAGTAACTTTCGTCCAGTCTCAAATCTTCAATTTGTCTCTTAACTTATGGAGAAAGCAGTGTTCTTACAACTCAATGATTACTTGATGTGCAATGGTTTACATGAGCCCTTACAATCTGCTTACAAAGCCTTGTACAGCACAGAGACAGCATTAATTAGAGTTCACAATGATATCTTACTTTCTGTAGACAGCAATCAAAATGTCATCCTGGTGCTGTTGGATATGTCTGTGGCTTTCTACACCATCAATCATGAGATTCTTCTCCAAAGATTGCACCAGAATTTTGGCATTAGTGATACTGCCTTGGATTGGTTTAACGATTACCTACATGATCGCATGCAATTGGTCAACATTGAGCATTTGCAGTCAAACCAGCATTAGCTATTAATAGGAGTGCTTCAGGGCTCTGTTTTGGGACCTGTTCTGTATCTGATGTATACCATACCCATTTCTGAAGTCATCAAAAAGCACAAACTAAACTACCATCTTTACACAATCAACACCAAGCTCTATGAGACCTTCAAAAATGATGACATTGACTCCATTACTGACCAGATTGCTGACTGTTATCTGACATTTGCTTATGGATGGAACAAAATAGCTAAAGCTTAAAGAAGAGAAAACTGACATATTATTAATTCACTCTAAATTTTGGAATAGCCCTTCACTAGACAAGATCATCCTTGGTAATGAACAACTGCTATGGCTAGAACAGTTACTAATCTTGGAATCATCTTTGACCAGGAAATATCATTCAATGATCAGATAAATCAACTCTGTAGAAGTCTAGCGGGTATGTCTCTGAACTATTACAGGAGAAAAAAATCATCTCAAATATTGCATTCAAGTTCTCTTGAACTCCTAGCAACACCAACATCAAGAACAAAAACATATGGAGATAGAGCATTCTCAGTCTGTGCACCAAAATTATGGACTGGCCTGCGTAACAACATCAGAAATGTTGGAACACTGCCTTTATTTAAAGGAATCTAAAAACATATTAGGCTCTCCACTTACACTTGCAGAGTTAAAAATTGAACTTGAAAGAAAAACAAATAGTTTTTCTGTTTATTTCTTGGCATAAATTCTTAACATATAAAAGTTCTTTGCATAAAAGTATCAAGATAATTTGAAAATTCTGTGAAACATTTCTTGTTCATGTTTTACTGAGTCTGCGCCAACTAAAACTTGCTTGTTGTATCAGACAAGTTTTATTTGGTGAACCATTTCTTAAAAAATTTTTATCAAAAAGTTCCCATAACAACTCTGATGTCTTTGTGAGAGCTTTTGTAAAAACAAAACATGTGAATTTTGTTTAAAAAACGTTTTATCAAAATATAAGTGTATTCCTGTGAGTAATCACTTAACTTTAATGATTGTGACATTTTTCCTAAATTTTCTTTAAGTCTTTTAAAACTTGTCCCTGTAAGTTTCAAAAACACATTGTCCCCTTGTGTCCCTTCGAGCTTGATCAAGTGTAAGTAGTGTGCATCCATCCTCATTGTCGAGATTCAGTTCTATATAAGTGTATCTTCCATTTCTTTGGATACTGTCTCTCAGTTTTAGCTTTACATGTGTCATTTTTGGGGTGTAAGGTTTTCCTGTCTTTCATTGAAACAAAATCAGGTAGATCCTTTAAGTAACAGTTAGTTCTGGGTAAGCCACCACCAACTGCAAGAAAATCACCTCAAAATCTTCAGGTTTTTTCCTAGATATTTCCTTTAACTGCACAACATCAATTCGTAATTTTAAAAACCGACCCTTGTCCATTCTGACATGACTGGAACAGTTTGAAGGAAATGAATTTGAAAAAACAGGTACCTGTTCTAATGCCAATCTTCTTAATTAGATAACATATTTTTGCATAATTTTGGTTATGTTTCTTCAAAATATTTAAAATATCATGATCATGTTGTTTCACACTGTTGTTTGTATGTTGTCTATGCCAAAATGCATGAGAAATTTGTGAAGTCATTTTTGAGGCAGTTCAGGCTTTGAGAGAGGCAGAAATAAAGCCAAATGTTTGATCATCTCTCTCAAAATTGAAGAAATTCACACCTGATGGCTTATAGGCTCAAACTTATCTGTTGCAACAGACAAGTTTTTCTTGTCAGAAACAGGTTGGAAAAAAATAAATTTGTAACATTTCTGACATGTCACAAACAGGTTGAAAAAGAAAATTGGAACATCAATGTTTCAGATGCGTCAAACAAGATTCAAATGAAATTTTTCTTTTTGAGGTCATTATGAAATCTTTAAGAATTTGAATGTCATATGTCATTCTTAACACAATCACTTCACATATTTTACACTTATAATTCTTCTTCTCATCTCTCTTCCTCTGGCTTTTGAGTTGCCTGTATGTTTGATGAAATGGGTTTGGATATTCAAAATGTTGAATCCTGTCAAATTCAAAAGCTAATTTTAGTGTATCACAAAAACGGCCTCTCGCGATCTAATGCATATGTAATTGCCAAAGAATTTGAAATTCCACTATATTCTACTGCTTCCTTTAGAGTGTCATATGCTTTGCAAAACCCCATTTCATTGCTCACTTCAACCTTCTGTCTCTTGTCCACAGGATGATAGCCAAGCATTGCTTTCAATTCTTTGCTTGGAATCTTCTTTCTTTATTTTATTCTGCAGCCTTTAGCAACTTCTCTGAATTCTTTTGCGTTTACTAGAAATAAATTTGTTTCCATTTTTATGGTAGGTATGAAATTTTTAAATTTTTTTTTTAACGTAACATAAAAAATGGAAAACATGAACAGTCCAGAATTGAGAGCTGAGGCAACAGACTCAAAAGATATAGGAGACTTAATAAGCAAGATTTGATTCAGTTGATCAGCTCCACTATCCATATATAGTTGATCAGCCAGTTTCAGAAATTAATGATCCACTCCTACCACCAACAAGATACGTCCCTGTCAAGCTGCAAGTTAATGAATCCAAACAACAAAGAAGGAATGAAATCAGAGAAATCGAGGAGATGCTCGGATTGAGAGAATTAATGCAAATAGCAAAACCTAAAGTTTTGAGGCTAACGAGAGAGAATTGCAGAACAAGAGTCATGATAATTTTTAATTGTGAGATGGTTAAAAAAGAATTATTCAATGAGAATGTTGAACTTCTGAATCCTTATTTCCAAGGCTATATAATTGAAAATCTTGAAGAAACAGATGAATCTGAAGAATTTGACAGGTCCATAGATATTATTCAAGAACAAATTCATAATTTTAATTAAAGAGGAAGCAACTGGAGAATTCAAAGAATGATATCTCTTGACATCCATCTTGCAGAATACACACCATTAAATGGCAGCTCTTACATGGAACTACCAAAATTCATCAAAATCAAAAATGTAGATAATCAGTGTTTCAAGTGGTCCATAACAAGAGTGCTTAATCTGGTTGAGAAAGAGCCTCAAAGGATCACAATACTCCTCAGAGCACAATCTGAGCAGCTTAATTGAAGTAATGCCAACTTCCCAATGAAGTTGACTGATATAGGGAAGTTTGAAAAGCAGAATGAAAACAACGAACATGATTTTATCCAGTGAGGATCAGCATAGAGAAAAATAGGACACAAGTCGATCTTCTTCGCATAACAGATGCACACTACTACCTGATAAACAACATGAGCAGGCTGCTATCAAGTCAAACCTCCAAGCATAAGAAAGTGAAAGAGTTTGCCTCATGTCAGAGTGCAAGGAACTCCAATCATTTCAAAATGGATGTGATCGAAATCGAATCACAGCATTAGTAATGGTAATGGGACTAACTGGAGTCCAATATAATTCTGTCTCTAGTCATACAAGTGATAACAAAATCTGATGGCAGCACAGCTGGAGTCAGATTTGTTTTTCACAAGTATGATTACAGACCAAATTGGACAACACAAAGTCTTATTACCACTAATTATAACTAGGAGTCTGTACAATGTTTCTATGGTGATCAAAACAAAGGTTGTGATTGGTTGATTTAAAGTACAACTTTAAATGTGATTGGCTTATTAAACTGTCCAATAAAAAAACTGTCTGATAACAAACAGTGTGATAACAAGCTGTCAGACGACAACTTGGCAAGTGCAGTAGAGGTAAATAAGGGTTTTTTTTTCACCAATCACAGTCAAGGAGATTGTAATTTTTATCACTAATTCAGAAAGCTCCCAAGTTTTTTATTTGTACTTCCCCTACTTTGATGCAAACTTATAGCAAATAAAAACAACAGTGAAAAATTGTTAGAGATGCAAAGTGAAACCAAGTACAAACTTGGGTTTAAAAAAACCAATCACTCTCACTCTTTAAATGGAAAAATTATTTCTAATACTACCTTTGCAGTGTTTAAAGCTGCACCATATCCAGTTGAAATTCCACACCCAAGGAGACACACTTTCTCAAGGGGAGCATTGTCAGCAACCTAGAAGTACAAATAAAATGCTGTCTGTATTAAAAATTAATAACGAAATAACAAACAAAAACAAAAAATAAAGAAAAATTTATTAGGTTTGTCATGAGAGGGAAAAACAATACGGTCAAATTGAATTCAACTCTTAGTGCTAATTCCCATGTCTACAAATAAGGTATAACATGATGAAATTTTAAAAACAAATAGGTGTCAAGCAATGGTCCAATATCAATGGAATCAAGTTTAGTTTAGGTGCAGTGTAATGTTCTATATGCAATATTTAACCTTGTGATATGCTTTTAAACTAAATATTGTTTCTTTAAAAAACTAGTTAGACACTTCTCTGTGTTACATGCTTGAAGAGGGGAGTCTTGCATCATGACTTATTTAAAAAAAAAGGTATGCTGGATACTATTTACACTTTTCTGTGTGAAGACGTGTGTACCACTTTCTTGCTTCACAAAATCAAGAAAGTGGTATATTAAATGTGTATTATGTTCTCATATCATAAATGTTTGTACAGTGAGCTGTCTCAATTCATGCCTTGAGGAGATAGAGAAAAAATTCATGTGTCATGTTTGCTTGCATTACAACTTCATGTTGATTTTAAGTGTGTACTCATGTTTCATGGGTCATCAAGTATTCATATACTCAGGCTATTGTTTAGGTTCTTGTCGGATTTCACAATGTGATCTGTGCTTGAAAATGTAACACCATTGGAAAATCAATCATACTGATGGAAAACACTGGATTCTATACGTGTCCATTGGATATAATCGGAAACTACTGGAAACATTTTCAAGGCCTACCTTCAACCTAAACAAAGTCTCTCACTATCAGAAAATTGACCATTCCAGTCAAAAACACTGGATTCTATTTGTGTCCGTCAGACTACATTGGACACCTATGGAAAACATTTTCAAGGTCTACCCTCAAGCTATGCACTTTTTTTTTTTGCCTCTTGTCAGTGCCAAATTGATCATTTCCATGGAAAATACTGGATTCTATTTATGGCCATTGGAATCCATCGGACTCTGATAGTATGCAATTTTGGGGCCTACCTTCAACCTCGACATGATTTTTTTCTAAAGTAAGTCACTCATTATCTGAAAATTGACCACTCCGATTGAATCCATTGGATGCTATTCATGTCCATCAGAAAATATCAGATACTGATGGAAGAATACACATCATCAATTTAATGACTTCTGGTGTAATTAATCATGACCACTCACAATAGTATACTTCCATTGTTACTGAATGAATAGACTTCCGGTTTCAGACAGAAACAAACATTTTCCAAAGGAATCTATTTGTGTGTATTGAACAACCCTCCCCAAGTCAAGAAACAATTTTTAAACACCTGTTGTGAAACAGTCTTTGAGAGGAAAGGTTCTAAAAACCTTCAGCACACTTCTCTATTCTTGTATATCCTTCAAATGAATCTCTTTCTTAAGGGGTGAATTTCGGTGTTTGTGTATCATGTACAATTTCTTTAAATGCCTTGTTATATACACATCCTCTAATGCATATTAATTATCATACAAGGATTGAATCTCTGGTGGGTTTTCATCTTGTTCAATGCACCTGCCTTTGGATTGAATGATTGTACCTTTTCCTTCAGCTTTGTAGATATGTTGAAGTTTTATCGTAGGTTATCACGTTCTTCAATTTCACCATTTAAGTGCTCTTCATAAATACCAAATGAATGTTAACATCATTCTAAAGCCCCTAAACAACTTTGAAGCTGTTCTTTTTTATTTCCATGTTGCCTTCCTTGTATGTTGGATGTAAATGGTTAAATTTCATATTTCAATTTTGATCAGCTCCTGCTTAAACCAATCATCTTTCAAATCTAAATGCTTCTAATGAAAAGCTGGATTAAGTTTTTGATAAGCTTGACATATTCCTTATCTTTCGTATACCAGGACCACACTTTTCACTGATAATTGTAAGGTCAAGTTTAACAGCTTTGTGGCCTGGAACATTTGAAGCTTTTGTACTTGCTTGGATGACCCAGTTTATGATTCATTTTGTTACTAAGAAGTGGTAAATCCTAAAAATAACATTAACCCTCAGGCTGGTTTCTTTATCTCTAACACTTTACGACAAAACATTAAGTTTCTCTAACACTGAAGCAACTATAAGAACCTAAATTGTTAAATAAAGGCTAACAAATGATATTTTGATCATGATATAATTATGTATGTATCGATTATAGTTCACAAATTTAAGGTGCATTGATATCAAACTAACTTATAGTTGGACTGGCTTAACAAAATAAAGAAGGAAAAAGCCCTAAAAACACAGAGAAACCAGACATGTCCACAAATGTCAAACATACACAAGCCCCTTCATTTGCATAACAACTGAATTGTTTAGCATGTAAGAAGAAGAACCCTATTGTACATATAAAAAAAACCATTCTCAAAAAAACTATTAATATCAATTGGTCCCATTGTAAAGGTTATTTTTCACAATAACTTGTAACTATAGTAATTACCTTTGCTACTGATATTTCAGCCACAACTGTGTACTCACTAAATGTGCTAGTACCCATAAAGTGATACAAGGTCTGGCCTTTGCATGAAAATCGCGATGTACCGTCAGGCATTACACCTTTACCCTGAGTTGTTCTAAAAGCAATGAGCAAAAGACCAGTTATACATTGTATCACTTCCTGTGATTATATTACTATTCCAGTGATTTTTCAGAGCTCCCCAAACACTGCCATTATGATCACCCTACTGATTATAAAACTCAAAAATTAACAACAAATAAATTTACTTCATAATAATGATATTTAATCCTCAGGCTCAAATAGCTAACCAAAATATGTAACAGAAAGTTGATAATCTAGACATATCAAAGAGCAAGTGAGATAAAAATGCACCTGTGGCTGTTAATTTGTTGAGAGAAGAGCACATTTTGCTATTGATTGTTTGTCTCTGTTGACAAAATCTGTTCATAAATAATGAGCCTTTCATTTGAAGGAGAAAAGAAATTCTGTTGCTAACAGACCAATAGTGACCATTTTGAGCTCACTTACCGAATTGTGCTGCAAAGATTTGTCTTTGGACTTTGGCAAAACTTGCACTCACCACACTGAGGTATGTAAAGAGGAATAACATGATCACCTACAAAGGAAAATGTACAAATCACTGAAAGCTGCACAACCCCTTAAAACAATACTCATGATTACATGTACCACTCAGATAAGAAAAAAAAAATCAATTTCAAGATGACTTCATGGCATTTTGTACCGAGATGGGTTCTTCTGAAATATCAAGAGCCATTGTGATAAAAGTGTGGTTTTCTTTGCTCTGAAAACAATTGTGATTGGCTGATTGGTAATCATAAAATTGGCCTTGCATAAATTGAAATGTTTGCTGAGTGGGATACATTTATTGAATGCAAACAATGTCCAGGATTTGTATGTGATCAGAATGAGGTCAGTGGTGTGATTGTGGCATGATACTTTTCAAGCTATCTTTGCTAACTTCTTTGCTATTCCAGAAAACATGTCACTACCTCTGCTAGTTGTTAATTAAAGTGCCCAAAAAATGCATGTGGTTACTGGTAGTCATGGGTAAATACATTACAGTAGGTAACCTTTAAGATGTGTTTTTGTATTTTTCATTAGTCTGAAGTCTACTTTTTTCCCCTTGAAAGCAGTCTTTGAAAGGACAATATCAATAGGACAGTTGTTTCAGTTGTTTTAATTAAAAATTACAGCACACTCAGTTGGAGGGAGTCAGGAGCGACCAGTCTACATTTGGAGGGTGATTTGGTACACTTTCTGGCTAGACAGAATAAACTCGATGTGCTCCCTACTGCTCTTACCTATGCCATCTAGAACTTGGGGTGACTTGCCTTTAAACCATGCAACACATCACTCTCTAAAAGAACTCTTATCTAATAATTCCCTTTGGCTTACCAGGCTTGACTCTTGTGACTCCTTCACCAACACTTTCAACAATACCACCTCCTTCATGGCCAAGAACAGAAGGAAAGACACCCTCTGAGTCATGTCCACCCAGTGTGTAACTGTCTGTATGACAGACCCCAGTTGCAAGGATTTTAATGCGCACCTCTCTAGCCTTAGGAGGTGCTACCTCAACAGTTTCTATCACAAGTGGCTTCTTAGGTTCCCAAGCTACAGCTGCAAGACATGATATAGACTGAAAAACAAAACACACATGGCAAAATGCTTGACAAAGTCCAACTAGAATCAAGTAAAGCAAACTTACATGAAATGTTCTCTTTCCTTCTTTTCTTTTCAAAAAGGTTTTCAGTCCTTACCATCAGTTTCAACATTGAAAACTTTAAGACTACTGAAATATTCCCATACCTACCGAGTCATAATTTTCCTTTTAGCACTAGTGGTAGAAACAATTACCATAATTCATTGTCAAGAATTCTCAAAAGTAGACAGAGAAAGGAACACAAGGGACACCAGTATCTCACCTAGCACTCTGGAAGAGTCGCACACTAGCAAATGAGAATTATCCCAATCATTGTTTAAGAAAAAAATCTTGTACTACATGAATATTACTTAGCAGGCCAAATTATTTTAAGCTCTGTGTTATTAAGGGCAATGTAATTACTTAGTAATGTAAACAATCACTGGAAGACAAACAGCACCCTCTCTTAATAAACTATTAAGGAGTGCATGCATGCACCCTTCAAAAGTAGAAGAAAACATGGTTTGTATCTCCTGGTGGTAATGAAACAAGCACATGATAATTGGCAGGCTGCAAGGATTCTAGCTGGTGGTAGTCAGCAAGCTAGACTATTTTTGGCTCTGTTTGATCAAGGGCAAGGTAACAACTCAGTAATGTAAACAGTCAGTGGAACTACAGTCAGTTCACTCTCTTGGTCTGACCATCAGGGAGTATATGCAAGAACCCTTCCAATGGAAACAGAGTTTGTGCTTCCTCTGGTAATCAATTTTCTAAACCAAAATTTTACCTTCCCCTACCACTAACCCTGATTTATTAAAACAAGGGTCAACTTGCAAGACAATCTATAAACTTGAGAAAGCCAGCTAAATATATAGAGAGGATGACAATCATTTAAAGCATAAGTTGTGGTTGGAAACCTCATTGGCCAGCGTAGCAGTGATTGAGTACATAACAAGTGATAGTAGTCTATTCCCAGACTAGTGATCATACTGAGGACCATATTGATCAATAAGAAGATCAGTTCGTTCTCATTTCATTTGGGGAAATACTCTACTAAGCATGAGACAAAAAGTAGATCAAGTGTCAGTCACTGGACAGGTACCATCTTAAAAACACTTCATACGGCTGCTCATACACTACAAAACATTTCAAGAGTTAAGAGCTTGAAAACAAAATTTCAGGAAGATCCATGATGTTTAATAGCCCTTGTATGAAAGAGAAATTAAAAACAAAAAGCAGTATGCAGAAACTTTCCGCTCAGATGTAAACAAAAGTGGTACACTGTGCCTGGACCGAATGGGTGGAGAGAGGTAAACCACAGAGACTTTGTGGCCATGCGCTTAATAGGGCCACATGCAATCCATGCAGTATGTCGGATGCGACAACGGAAAATCTCGGTAAGAGCAAACTTCAGAGATTTCTGCAGGAAGCCGCATTAAAATGAGAGTAAGGATAATGTTTTCAGGCGCAAATTGTGTCTCCACTAGACCACAAAAAATTTAGAGGGAATATTTTGTCAACTTGGCGCACAAGAGGAGTCTACACAACACAAAGAATATCGTTCCAGCAGGACACCAGCTCACCAGATTGGGAAGTTTTGGAATTATCTCACCTTTCCTTCCGTCCCAGACATTCTTTTCCCGCGAAAACACAAAATTGGTCTTCCACAGAAATTGATGGCTTCTTATACGCCAGCGAATGAAGCAATCGAATAGTCCGACGAGACAAAGCTAAGATTGGATTGTCACGTGACAACTTTGACCAATGAAATCTGTGAATACGCCTCTTAGCGCGCCCCTTAGCGAGCTTTGTTTATGACTAGCCTGCAGTACATACGTGTTACAACAATGAGTTATCGTAATGAGTGATCGTTTATCAGGCCGGCCATGTCTTACGTAGACTTTTGACCGTCAATCACCCTCTAGTAAAAATTTCTTTCTCTTCCCAACGTTCTGCTGCTGTAAAAATTTAAGATGGCAGCTACAATCACGTCTAATTTAGTGTTAACAACTGCGTTGAAATTTGACCATCGGACGTTTCGAGCGTTAGCCCTTCGTCAATCCCTCTGACGAAGGGCTGATGCAATTATCAGCAGCCATCCCGGGGGGGTTGACCCCGGGGAACCCCCGCGCATTTGCACCAAGACATTTGCAAATTCTACGTACCCAGGGCCAATATTCTTCCACAAAAAACTACCACTGTCCCTCCCCCGGGGAGCATAATTTGAAAGGACTCACAAATTATAACATAATTTCCTGCATAATTTTCAAAAAAAGTTTAACGGTGATATATACAGTAAGCAAAAATAGCTAGTCCACCTGTTTTCTGCACACAGCGAGGTTCAGCTTTATACCTTGTCAGTCATAGAATTACAATTTCAACGAACATACACTTACTTCGGCCTGTGTTTACTATAAAGGGCTATACAGGGCTAAAAGTCGCTTTTTGCCGGCGACTAACTGGAAAAAAGTTATCGCAAATACTACGTTTTTTACGTCTCTGTCGGTCTCAATTTCGAGCCTTATCAAATTACTTACAATTGAAACAAACCATTTTTTTTTTATTTCCTTGATTTTGCTTTCGAAATCTTCACGCAGGGTCCATGGTACCAGATTTTGCATGCTTTGCCTTGTTTCTCGCACATGATCATGAATCTGTGAAAAAGATGGCGGCGATGTTGCAAGTCCCGCGGGTCTTTCCCCTCGTACGTTGCCTCGGAAGTGCAAAAGCGGACCAATGCCCCCGTCCCGGGCCAAAAATTGGCGACAAAAGTCAGCAAATCCCGCGCTATTCCCCCGTATGTACCCGGGGTCAACCCCCTGGGATGGCCGCTGATAAGTGCATAACGCTCGAAACGTCAGCCTTTAAACTCTTTACGGCGGTCAATTTACGTTTTCAACTCAGTTGTTAACACTAAATTACCAGCTATTCTCTCCCACCGACGCAGCACAATTTCTTTAGAAACTTACCCCTTTTAATCACGTCTGCCTTGGAAGCTATCATATGACCAAGTGATCATGCTTACAAAGAAAAAGTAGATGTATGTTACATTGCAGGATATGGTGGAAAACAGCGGAATAATAATATTAGCACTACCATATCTTCCTATAAATCTGTATGTATTTATACTGTTTAAAGCTATCATATACACTTTGCTGTTATGTGTCCGACTTTTCTTTTGAACCTGTGCGTAACGACGGCAAACCGTCGTGCTTGGAGCTCGACTAAACGGCGGCCTTCTATAAGACTACACTTGTATTTCCGGCATTTTCTTTTGCGTAGTCCTTCTTACTGATAATGAGCATTCAAAATCAGTGACTTCAGGCCTCTTGCCTATTTTACTCTTTCCTATTTATCATATAAGACTTTTGATCACGTAGGAGACCGAAATAGACTGCTATCTTGACCTTGTGTTTTAATTGACTGGTTTTTACCTTTATTTTTGTTAGTTGTCAAATAACAAGGCTTAATACATGGGAAATCCTTGTAAAACTTGATGTGTTTTCGTCATGAGATGTGGCTTGCAAATCGAATATTGCTATCTTTACTGAATCTCATGACTCGGCTTCTAGTTGTCGAAGGTAAAACTGCAACCGAGGCTCTTTGCCAGTAGCAAGATGACAATAGTATAATGACATAAGTCTCTCTTAAAATATCTCTAAAAACAAGTAATTCATTCGTCCATTACATCCCTCCATGATGAAGTCAAGGCTTATTCAGTCAAATGATGCCTTCCTGTCCTCTGGTGGCAGTTCAGGAGGAATACGAGCACCTAATTGTGACCGACACAAACACTCGTGCAAAAAAGAACTGAAATGCTAATAACCCTCTACCAAAGAAACCTGTGTTCACAAAAATCCTACAGTCAGCCTTTGTGAGGAAGCCTTGTGTAAAACATAGGATCAAGGAATGTTGTGAAGAATAAGATTAAGTTTTAGGGGTAGAGGATTTTAAATCTAATTCAGTGCGTTGTGCCAGCCAATGTGGTCGTCCGTTCGTAGACTAATTCACGGGCGATGATCAATTTAATCTTCCCATGGAGCGAAAAAGGGGAAAGACCCAAAACTTGATACGGAGTGAAAAGAAAGGTAAGTAGGTTATCCTGATGATGAAGTAAATGAAATCAGTGTCAGATTGTCCAGGTATGATCGCTGAAGTAATAGTTGTCACCAGAAAAGAGATAACCCTGAAGTTCTTGCAATGATTATTATCATTATTATTGTTATAAACGTGACGAAGAATCTCTCTATAGCGATCCCACTGTACGGATGGCTAATTTGAAATGTTTTCAGTTTCAAATGGAAGACAGGTCTTATCAAGGGGATTGACCACGCAAGAAAGTAATTTTTGTGTGTGTACCACAGACATATAAAATTTCTCAATTAGAGAGATAAAGAGGTTGCATTAATTACAGAGTGTTGATAAATTAGTAATCATGTCGTGTTGCAACACTAGAAGGGCGTGGCAGTTCTTGCTTGACGCCTTGAAATACTGCCACTTTACAACAGGTGATTCGTTCTTATTGAAAACAAAGAAAAAATATTCATTCTCATGCAAGAAGAAAACTTCTATAACACCATAAACCCTAGCACTAATGTAAAACCTTCGATCCTATTTTGCTTGTCACTTCATTCTTATTTGCGCTACCACTGAGGTTTTAGTTGGGAAATACAAAACTCCCTTAATTGACGAGAAATTATTTCCATTCTCTTAAAAAATATTAATTCAGATAGGCGGCGTCATAAATTTGTTTATCTCTTGCTGTTTTAAATGAGGTTAGCAATTAAAAACATAACTTAGATGGATAGATATTGGTGAAAATCAACTCTGACTTTTAGTTGAGTAATAGAACATTAATCTCGAGCTGAGCTTTATTGACCTCTGGTGTACTAAGTACTAGGGTTACTTTAATCTTTTGATACATTTGCCTTTCTGTTAAGGGGTGTGGTAGAACCTGTTAGGTACCAAACATCATTTAGGTAATCTTGGCGCAATGCGTGAGACCTTTTGTTTTGCAGTGAATTAGTTGTTCCTTCATATGCACTTGTGAAGTTACTACAAGCCTAAAGATATAGCACTTTTTCGATTAGGACCAGGCCTGATGTCAGGTGAGCCAATATAGGAAAATTAAATATTGTGATACATCATTGTATGTCATTTAGGCAATTCGATTGTATGTAAAACGTTTATAAAGGGTTATTGCGTTGGAAACATTTTCCAACACTTAATGCAGACCACACGCTGAGGACTTCTTAAATTTTTGTCAAGAAGGTGACACTGAAATACTAAAATAGTGAGCACGTGTTATAGACCAAGATAATCAAGTAAATTTAAAATCTAAGATAATATATGTACATATCACAGGATCATTTCAAAGGTTTTCCTCGAGTATCTGTTCGTTTCTTCCCCACAAAGGCTCTCCATTGATGAGTGATAAGCAGGAGAAGTAATCCGAGATTTTATTCAGCAAGCTATATTGTTAAAAATGTTCGAATAAGTTAAACAAATTAAGAAATAGAAACCCACAACTCGGAACGGTACCTCTCCCCCCTCTCCTCCTCTCCTCCTCTCCCCTCCTCTCCTCCTCTCCCCCCCCTCTCCTCCTCCCCCCCCTCTCCTCCTCTCCCCCCACCCCTCCTTCTCTCCTTCACCTTCATTCATATCTTGCTCTCCTCAAGAGAAGTTAAAAAAGACGAATCCTCATCATTTCCCAATGTTGCAATCGAATGGAATGGTAACTGTGTTTCAACAGTCATTCACTAGGAAATGTCAAGGCAAGGCTAAAAGAGCTATTGAACCCGTGGTTGTACTATTAAACCTTCTCTGGGGAAGCAGCCTGGTAGCTTGCAGCAAGTTTGACGAGTTTGTAAGCTGGCATTCAAGTCTTCTCTGACATTATTTTCGCTTTAATTTTTTGTTTACACACTTTCACAGCCCCGGTTCACCCAGGAGTATAAATAGATATATGCAAACTTGGAGGCGATAAGGAAACCTCTCAGTCACTTCATGTTAAACACTCCTGGCTGTGTTCCCGCAACTGTAAGCCCCTCAGTGATCGCCCTTTTCCCTGCCATATCTATGAAGCCTGTTGATAGGCCACAATGTCACCATTGTTGTAGATATTTTACGCCTCGATACAGAAAATTATTTGCTCATTCAAACAACGTAACAAGCAACGTACTTTTTTATCCGCCGAGGACCTTCTGAGAATTTCGCTTAAAATTTTTTACTTTTTTTCCATCAGAGAGATTTACCCTGTGACAATCAGGTCGGTCTTAATAAGCATCATTTGTCTGTAAACACAACAATATTAGGCATGCGTAATACAATCATGAAATGCAAGCACAAAGTTTCTTACCACTCACTGTGATGCGGGAAAAAAATAGCTCTCCAATCGGCAAAGTTAGAGATGTGGCGATCAAAGTAGAAATAAGTTTAATTGTTTGCAATAACAATTATGCAACCCTGTAGGCTGAAGCGTTGTATTTCTGTTTTTGTTACTGGTTGATTATGTTTCTAGTTTAGATTTTACAGCTGAGCGAAGAAAGAACGTCAAGTGCTTTCTGATAACTCTAAACGTCACCTTGACTGTGTCATATAGCACTGATCACGGTTTCTGTTGAATTTTTAAGAATGGCTAACAAACTGCTTCATACCCCGTCCATGACAAGCTCCATGCTAACGTCTAACGAACAAGTTTCCAGTTTCTCAATCGCCTCTTTGCTGCGTTGCTGCGATGAAGGTAAGTATAAACTGACATTTTAAAAATGAAAATAAAATTCGGTTCGAGTACAATGACAAAACAAACTCGATAGACGGTTGTAGTTGAACATAATTTAAATAAATATGAAGTGACTTATGATTAAATCATGACCGTATAGTCTGTGGTCAAAGGCAGATGGAAATAAACAGATCTATAACTAACATTTTCTACTTTTGGTTGAACCGTTGTAGACTCGAAGCAGAGTCCCAGGATGGGTCATCCACACAAATGTTGCAGCGTGAAGAAAACAGGCCGCAAATCTGGTTCGTTCAGACAAACTGATATTCAAAGTGCATTCTCTGGATCATCTGTCGCAGGCAAGGATTTCTCGGAGCCTGATTTAACAGAGGGAACCTATTCTTTTAAAGGTGACAGTTATACTTATCAGGCAATGGCTGTTTGGAAAATGATATTTGCTAGAAAAGTCATTTATAGAATTTTGTGATATCACTCTTGGCCTAAACACATCGAGTAACGGCGATTCCTATTGACTTGGTGATAGGGAAGCCTTGAAGAAAAAATAGTACATGTTTAAGGAATAGATTTGATTTTTCACCCCAAACAAACTTACTATCTAACTAGGGAAAGTGCTTTTTTTACTCGTGCACATGACATTTATTTTTGTAGTTTTCTACGTCGAAGCGAAGTTGGTTCTAGAATGTGGTTAAAACTTCGAATAGATTAGCGGTCAGATTCAGTTTCATTGATTGAGACTGTAACAAAGACGACACGAGTCTAACGAGACCAACAAAACGGTTTGTCTCTCTTTTGATATACAAAAAGGCTATATAACATGATTTCTCAAACGAGAAAAAAGCCCATGTTTTGTTGTATGTTATTGTTGAGCATGAAAGGGGCGTAACTATGCAGAATTCCTCTAATTTGTACTAATTAGACAATCACTAGAGCAATACCTTCAGTTTTCGGTGTGGTCCTCCGCTCCTGTTTACATATTTGTACATTTTTTTATCAAACACTTTTGATTTTTTTCCCCATTGTTTAGATGGTATTCAAAGTTCTGATGATAGATGTAATAAGCTTTGAACTATAATTTTTCAATTCAAAACTGTTTTTCATAAATAAAGGGTGGGCAGCTGCAATCTATTTACACGAGCCTCCTTTTATCAATGATGACGCTAAACTAAGGAAACTTTGACACTAATGATAGCGTTTGATACAAGCTTTCATAGTGAGGATTGAACCTCAATTTCAGTAGTCATACTCGACGACGCTTTCATTTCATGGAATTAAACTCAAAAGACAAGGAAGAATCAGGGGACTTTTCCAACAATAAAGCGGCGGAACAACAATTTGTCGTATATCATTCAAACTTTTCCTTCATTCATTTTTATGAATTATGAAGTATCGTCAAACTACTCTAAAAGTATGTAAACGAACTAGAGATCATCTCTAACATTGCAATCATGATGATCATGAAAAATTTAGAAAATCCAACGCTATTTCATATGAAAAATCAGTGGTTTTTGTTGTTACGATGAAAAAGTACTGAATGCAACAATTGATAGTTGTTCTCGTTTGAATGATAAACAGCCCAAAGTTTGTGATAAGACATGAATTTATAAAGTAGGAAATAAACTTGGCTGATATTACACTTAAATGTATACTACAACAGTTGATATCATTGAAGGCGCACACTTATTGGTTATTCAAACTGCCAATATCCTTTGCTTTCATCTCCGAGCAGCGCGCTTGGGAGCGGTGTATATTTACCGAGCCGCGAAAATTAAATACTCATCGGTCAACGCCGTGATATCATGTATAGCTCCCTCGACGTAGATGTATCTAACAGTTCCTGACCGAATGAAATATCCACTCTGTTGACATTTACATCAAGTAGGTCATGCGTAAATTAATTTTCACGACTTCTTCAAAATACACTATCGAGGAGCTCTTTCGTGCGATTTCAAAGAGGAGAAACATTTCAAAGAAGGAAGCATTTAGGGACATAACTCAAACTGAAATGTCTTAGTATTTGTTGTGAAGAGAGTACCAGAATCTTCCAAAGATTTCTTGTCCAAAACCTGCCGCATTATCTTAACGCTACTCGGGAAGAGCAGCGCACGATGCAAGTTATGGGATTTCTGTCGGCTAAATCACCATCAGTATCAAAGCAGTATCATTATTATCGTCGTCATCATCTTCAACAACCTCATTTCAGAAAAGATAACCTTATTTGGTCTCAAACAACTGAGACCGTTATTGCGGATGACCCAGTCCAGTGATAGAAAAAATTTAAACTGGAAGATGTTAGCCTCTGAGGTTTGGTGGACGTTTGCCACTGATGTTAAAACATTGACTGCACAATTGGCTGAACTGCACCACACAACCAGTTAAAACTCTTTGAGCTTATGCTTTTTGCTCAAAACTGATCAATGCCCCAAGTGGACCACGAGCATTATTTACTAAGTCTTTTCAATGTGACGATTTTCAGTTGTAAAAAAAAATTATCAGTACATTCATTGTCAAACTATTGACTTTTGAGTCCTTATGAAGATAATCCTAAAGGCGTAGGTAAAACTTTTGAAATTTTCTTCGGCTGTGGGCCTTCATCACACAGAAAATTTCAGTTAGCAGTTTCCTTTTCTCAAAGCTGGCATTTGTTTAAGTGCGTTCTGTCTCGTGCCGTTTATCATAGATAATATAATTATGACGGCTCGTTCTGTTGATAGGTCTTGATAGACACAACGAGATGCGGGCCTTTCGTAAACAGAAGGCAGAGGCCGGTGTTTAGGATTGTGACTGAAGAGGAAGTGAGAATTAAATTTTAAAAATCTTGAGAATCGAGGAAAAAAATGGAGTCGCCTACATCGCCGTTTACTTGGTTGTACAGCTGGATCAGTACCTTATAGTTGAAGATTCAGTGACAATAGCGGCCACCTGTTTACTTTTAAACATCTACGTAAAGGGGTACGGTACGTGCCCATTACGTTTCCTACTTCCTCGGCGGCCTTTAGATCAATAGTATAAATATAAAATGGAATTGGACTTCGTATAAGGACAACTTCGTCAGTTGTTACCGGAACGTCTGCGGACTTCGTTATGTGTTTCACTTTACAAGTTCTACCGGCTAAACGCAATTCGTGAAAGGTTACCTGAAAATTTTTAACACGAATTAAAGGGAACTTGAAAATGACTCAAATTGCTGAGCCGAAATTAACGATTAACAAAAACCACGTTCTTAAGTAACTTATTGATATGCTCGTTAAACTCTTGAAATCAATTTAAACTAATCGGCATGCCAGGATCAGTGTGGTTTTATAAACGAATTGCTTAGGGAGAAATTTAGTGTAAATAATTCATTTAAATTAGAGCTCACGTGTAAACGTTGTGATGAATGCGTTGGATATCACTTGGATCACTTGTGTATGACGTCTTCCGGGCTTTGGCAATCAACATCCCATACTTAACAATAAACTGACTTTGAGAAAAGAAACGAACCAACCAAAATTTAAGGAAGTTTTGTTAGTTGTAAAGTCACTCTCTCTTCGTAAACACAGAGAAAAATACACAAGAGCTGGGATAAGAGTCGTTGATTTCCTTTTTAAAGTCTTGAAGGCGATTGATACATCACATTTCGTTCATTAATTGACTTTATTTCAGGATCCATCTGCGAGTTTTTCAAGCCTTTATTGCAAGATAGAATAATTTCAAAAAGTGAAACGATGTCAATTATATCAATCTATGACAATTACTTTTAGGAGGTTCAAACCCCGCAAAATATGGCTTTTTTCCAAATCTACATTAGATAATTACTTAAGGTAAAAAAAAAATTAAAATTAACAAACCCCCGCAGGTGGGCTGGAATTTAGCATGAACAGTAGTGTACTGTAGAGAGCTTTATCATTTTTTTCACATGAACCCATTGATGGCGATATACTGCCCAGCTACATCGTTTCTGCATAGATCTGCTAGATGATTGGTCTACCTACATGGTAGAATGGAATCGTCATGTTGTACTAAACGGATATCTTTCAATTTAGTTCAAAGTATTTGCACCTTTTCGGAGCCGCTGCCTCGCTGGGTTCTTCCCTCCACTCAGTCTACAGAGTACAGCCTGAAGGGACACCTTAGTTATCAACCAGCCAGCCCGTTCCTGTACTTGCCACAAGGTATTCACGTATTAAACAAAGGACTGCATCAATTTGCAGTTGTAAGCTGCCGTGCTTCTATTTCCAAAGGCACTCGTTTTGGTCCTTATCGCGGCAGGGTGGTTCAACCCTCACAAGTTAAAGAAGGTGAAGATAATGCGTACTTGTGGGAGGTAAGAATAATACAAATACAAATGGCAAAATGCTGTCAGTGATTGCGTTTGTAAGAATACGTTTGGCCAGATTTCGAGAAACTACCCGGACAAACTTAAGCGACGAGTAGTTTTTTTTCACTACTTACCAGAATTCATCGCCAGCCTCGCTACCTAGAACTTCAGAACATTCGTTTTTATTTAAATCTACGATAGACAGTTTCATAAACAACAATTAAATATTTCGCGATCAGGAAAATAACATTTTTTCACGCCATACATAATACTGAGAGTGTTGGCAGCTCTGTTTTGTTTATCTTTTAGTATGGTGACTCATTTGAACCATTCGAGCATGAGCTTAGGAAAAAGTCCATCCCTTGTCTATGCAGGGGGGTCGCTTGTTTCACCAACTGTTAGGTTTTTGAATAGCTATGTAGCTGTTACAGGAGATAAATACAGGAAAAAATGAGGAGAATGTAGAAAAACTGCATCGTGAAAAAAAAAGAAAGAAAATTGCCTATACTAGATATTTGTAATTGCAATATGTCAGTGATAAGAACAAAAGAAATATTACTTTATTACCATAGATTTAAATGTATATCGTTTAGATGTACACCACTTTTAAATGAAAAAAGGGCTTTTTTTCGTTTGGTCTAGGAACTTTCTGTCTTTTATTCTTTTTTAATATTATTAATATTATTCTTTTTTGATATGATAAAGGTATGCAAAGAAGATGGCAGCCTTGCATATTACATTGATGGACTCTCAGAAACAGAAAACTGGATGAAGTTTATCAATTGTGCTCGCAATAACGAAGAACAAAACCTTGTGTTAATTCAAGATGGCGAGCAGCTGTTTTACGAATCATGCCGTGAGATCTTATATGGAGAAGAAATGTTAGTTTGGTACGGAAACCGCTATCACATGTTCATGGGAATTCCGACTGGAATGAAGGCGTCACCATGCAAGGAAAGGAATAACGAAACCGCACAGGGTAGGATGTCAATCTTTAGGCTTATAGGTTGACATAAATAACACTTGCATCTCTTATTTTGAACGATGTTGACAGTTAAAACCTGTCATTACTTCTTTCCTAAAATTGGCAATCCTTTCGCAAGAAAAAAACATCAAAGTATCGCAGCAGTTGCTTGCAAATGATATCTGTGATCCATAGTTCCGGCAAAGCAAATACAAAAACTGGATGATTACAAGACAGAAAAACATTTTAAATAAAAACTTAAGGTTACTCTCAACAAAATCTGGTCAAATTTTTCAAAATTTGTCCTTTTGTTCTTTAGTCAGAGAAAGTAATTAAATTTAATTTGCCGGGGAAAAAAATTGCAAAATCTTAAAAAGAATGCGAGATACGGCTGAAAGAATGTTTTAGGGGAACCAGTACCGAAGAGCGAAAGGTGTCATAATCAGAAAAGGCCTCCAGCAGAGTGGAAACTAAACTAAAACAAATATTCATTCCTAAACAGTGTGGTAGCGATAACCAAGCAAAGCTTTAGAAATTTATATTTTGCTCGAATCTTTGCAGGTGCGTTTGGGAGTTTCTCATGTGAACGTTGTGGTAAAGTGTTCGCCTACAAATATTACCGTGACCGCCACCTTAAATACACCCGATGCGTTGATCAAGGCGATCGTAAATTCCCGTGTACTGTCTGTAATCGATCCTTTGACAAACGGGATCGGCTTCGTATCCACGTTCTCCATGTTCACGAAAAGCACCGTCCCCACCAGTGCACAGTGTGTGGAAAACGCTTCTCTCAGTCATCCAGCCTCAATAAACACATGCGGGTTCACAGCGGAGAAAGACCCTACAAGTGTCCACATTGTGTCAAAGCGTTTACCGCTTCCTCCATTCTCCGGACACACATTCGTCAACACAGCGGAGAAAAGCCGTTCAAGTGCAGGCATTGTGGACGTGCATTTGCGTCACATGCAGCACATGACAGCCATGTGCGCCGCACCCACACGAAGGAAAAGCCTTGTGTTTGTGAATATTGCGGCAAGGCCTTTGCGCAATCTTACGAACTTAAGTTTCATATCAACATGCACACAGGAGCCAAGCCCTACACCTGTGAGAAGTGTGGCAGAGCATTTTCAAGTCCTTCATCACGTGACCGACACCGTGCTAATTTTGACTGCATCACAAGAAAGAATCGAGCACCAAAAGTCATGCGGAAGAACATCTTAAGTGTTTAATCCGCTTTCTAATAATACATTACTTGGATCTAACTGTCAATTCAAACAAGGTATACTCAGAATAAACAACTACAATTCGTAGATGATATTCTTCGTTCTGGTGGTGGCGTTTCCCATGATTCCTTGTACTGTTTGTTCCTCGAAAAACGTTTTATACTATACTATAATCTTTAATGAGGATGCCAGCGTCACAAAAGTGGTTTACAGGAGGGTCCTCTTAAATTAAATACTAATACAAAGATAAATTACAAATAAAAAACAAATAACTAAAACTAAATCTAAGAACTAATTAAAAATACTAATCACAAAGTATTAACTAAGAGTAATACTAGTAAGGTAAATTAAAATTCAAAATTAAATTTAGACAGGCCACGTTTGAAGGCAGGCAGTGAGTTTGCATTTCTTAGTGAGATGTCTAAACCATTCCATACATCTGCGCTAAAGTTAACTGACGACCAATGACCCCATCTTCTTGTGGCACTGGATTTTCGAACGTCATTTCTCGATCTTGTATTGTAACCATGAAAGTCCCGATTAAATGTGACAGGAATAGTATTACATGAATGGTTGTTAATTAATTTGTACATAAAGATGGCATGGTGTTCTTTTCTACGACGCAGTAATGGTTTCCAGCCAAGTCTCTTTAGGGCCTCAGTTGCGGAAAAATAAACAGGTAAGTCTAAAATGAGGCGAGCGGCCTTATTCTGCAACACTTGCAGCTCAGACATTAAGGACGCATTTCCGCGATCTCCCCAGATGATATCCCCATAGTCAAAAATAGGTAAAATGAAACTATTGAAAAACATAATTCTAGCGTTGAGGGGGAGGCAAGATTTAATACGCCTTAAAAGACCTTGCGTTGCGTCCTTGCGTTGTAGCTTGTTAGTTGTATTGAACATCTTTCATACATCTCTTTTAACCTACAATTATAAGGAAGGAATTAGGGCAATGAAAACATACTATCAAATTAGTATTCATGCCCAGATGACATGAATATTCAGTGTTGCGTTTGCAAACAAAGGCCGTCATCTAAGTTTTCCGTGACTTTGAAGTTTTCCTTCTAGAATATCGCTTACATCGCTAAATGATCGTCATTTGTGATGTCTGCGATATCGATTACAGTAGCACAGCTTCTACGACGCAGAATTCAGTTATCATTTATTTCATCTTTCTTGATACAAATTCCCATGCCGTAGATGGCTAAAAAGGGGTGGTGTTTGAAACCATTTAGAAAGCAGCATTCATCATTCAGCGGCTCCTCTTTGATCTCTGATAAGGCGATAGGGCATCATGACAGTCTTATCTCATTACAGCATAAAAGACTGTGATATTAATCGTAGCAATACCAACATTAATAAAAATAATAGTAACTATGATAATAATGACACAAGCGTTTTTCCTTAGAATATGGAAAGTTTCGAAAAGTTTTCTTTTCCTTTTTTGCATCTACACAAATAAACAGGGCTGGAATGTATTTTCAAAGTGAAATTTTGTCCAAAAAGAAATCTATATCTTGCTATTTTTGCGTAGCTGTGTGGTAAAAAAGCGTCCTCGTTGACTGATACATCGAGAAGCGCTGTTTCAGTGTTTTTGTAATGGAGCCGTTTATATATCGCTTGCTTAAATCTTCGCGGTTTTTTATAGGCCGTTATCGAAGCTAAATAAATCGAGTGGAAAAAGAACCTAAAAATTAAAACTTGCTGTTTCGTATCACATTCCTTTTTCTTTGAAGACTCTGACGAATGGATTAATTCAATTTTTTTGATTGGTTCATAGGAAAACAATAGACTCACGCAGGAGGTGTGATGTACGGAAGGGATCGATACGGCCGGAAATAGAGCGTTATCGCCGATAGATTTAAGTTATTACTGTTGTTTTTTTCTTTTTGTGTGAAAATTTTCACTTGTAAACTGCCCGTCAATGCGTGAAAAATATCTAACCAAAGCCACTGCATGCTGTAATGGCGGGAAGCAGTTCTTCATAGATCGATGGATTGCTATCTTTGCTGTCAAAGACGTATAAGTAGAAATAAATCATTATATTAATTAGTTTTGAGTGAAAAGCAGAAAACAAGGCATTGTAAAGGGCGTGCAAGCGTACGGAAATGTATTAGTGTAAAAGAGTGCGACGTCAAATAGCACAAAATGAAAAACATATCGAACATGCTTGCCATAATCTTGTATTCAGTATCAAAGAAGAAATCGAGAAGCGTTAATATGTAGATGAAATCTCGAAGAAAAGGGTTGCGTTCTTTAAAAAAAAAATTACGAATGAGGTCTGTCACCATCCAATTTCGCTATATGCTTTAGCGCAAGTAAACCAGTCAAAAGGTCCATAATACCCACGTCTCGGCGGGTACTCCGAGAAGACACTTCTGATGGAAACACAGAGGTAATCCTCTCATATTTATCTCATATTTATCTATGAATCTTGCGACACAATAAATCTTCCTTTTCTATAACCTACACTTTAACCCTAGTTAGCAAAGCAATTAACAGGGATTGAAATACTTGATGAGGCTGGCCATAGAGATCCTGAGGTCTTTAATTATGAAGTTTTATATGATGCTACTTTTAGAGCTGGTTTGTGAGTTAAACAGAGTTTAATTCATTAAAAACAAAAATTTTTATCAACTTAAAGAGAGATACATTCTTATTTATATTTAGTTGAAAGGACATGCAAAAACTGAATTAATAAAGGATGAGGTGCATATGCTTTGGTTTGCATCACAGACAAGCCTTCCGCTGCAAAAGCAAATGCTATCATGTTGCTACCTACTTATAGTGTTAAAGCATATGCCAAATATCAGTTTCTAGAGAAGATTAATGAAGAGTGCAGAAGCCTATGTGTGCAGAAACCTGGAGCTGCTGGCTTTTATGTTTTACATGTAACAAGGAATAGTACAAAATCTTCCCTTCAAGATGGAGCAGCTTATTAGAGAAATGATGGGTTGAGGCCTGACTTGCTTGATTTAATGGCCAATGTGAGTTTACCGTTTTACAAGAAGATAGAAGTCAAGTCCCTCCAGTGTGTGTGTTATATATATGGTTATGTGCTGAATACCCAATGTTGAGAGCTGAACCTTGTCCAAAAACTCATGACTATCATCCTCGGTATTGAACACACCACTAATAAGGTGGGTATCATTTTTAGTAACTACAAGCAATTTTTAAAAAATAAGACTGAGCCAAAAGTTGTTACAGACTGAAAAAAAAAAACCATTTTACTTTGTCTCTCTTTCTAGTGAAGCAATGATATCATTTAAACCTAAAAACCTCACACACTTAAAGATTACAAAATGTGAACCTTCCATATTTGTTTTTGTTTGTCTGTTTGTTTGTTTGTAATAAAAAAAACAACCACCCTCAAGCTTGATTTAGCAAACTGAATCATGTTAAAGGAAGAAGTTAGAGTAAACTAAAAGCTTCTGATGTTTTCAAAGTTCAAATTATATCATTCGTTAACTGTTTCTCTTGATCTCTAGGAGGGGTGTGGATATTTGATTCATATGAATGTGTGTTTTCAGTGAACTTAGGGTTAAGTAAAAGTCTTAAAATGTTTAAAAATGTAAAAAATCAAATAAGAATTTTTGTTTTTGATTCTTAAAGTTATTTTGGAACAAATAGTACAATAGTAGTCATCCCAGCTCAAGTGCAGTCACCTATACGATCATCAGGAGTAGAGGTAGGAAGCCGCCTCTAGAATCTAAACCAATCGCTTCTAAAGTTTGCCGTTACCCCATTCAGTTACTCATCCTTATTTTCCTCTGAGCCTAATTCTCTTAAAGAAAAACTCACAGCTCGCTCAAAGTCCATCTTTACTAAACTAACTGCCTTGCAATCGATTTAACCCAACGCGGGAACCTGAAAACAGCGTAAAAGCTGCGTAGAAGGCCATCACTTATACCTTCAACTTTCACTTCAAACTTCCACGAGCACTGGATAACACATAGAAAAATTTCGATATTTTCTTTCGGGGTCGGTTTTATAAAAGAAATAATGACGGGAAAGCTTCGAGCGTAGCTGTCGTTTGTCCGCTTCAACGTTTTGTCTATGGTCAAATGGAGTAAGCATCTTCTATTGGATTAGCGGTAGTTACGCTCACAGATTGTCATTTGGAGGATATAGAGTGCGGCAAATATCAACTCCTATTTGCGGAGTTAACTCCAAATAAAATATGACCGGTCGGATAAACGATCGCGAGCTTACAACGTTTGCTCGCCCTAATATAGGACGCCTGGATCAGTTTCCAAACGGGTAGTTGGTTGCAAGAAACCTTTGAGAATTACCCTGGTAGGGAGCGCGGGCTCAACCACTTAGACATCATGAAGCTCTTGCGCGTGATTGGTTAGTTATATTTAGAATCGCCTTTGATACAAAAACGAAGAGAACGCACCGTTTGCAAGACTATATAACCAGACGATCAAAATGGTTACTGCAGTGTCAGGTAGAGTTCCAGGTTTCGAACATGGGCTCGACCTTCTTCCAGTTCCAGTACTTCAAAGGCGCTTTAAAGATTGTTCTTATCGGCGATTCGAAGGTGGGAAAGACAAGTTTGCTTTCGCGATCCCACGAGCTTTACGCAACTTTTTCTGATGGCTGCAGCTTTCTCAAAAAGCCTTTTGTACACTCGGAAGTGTACTCTCCTACGGTATTTGAAACTTATACTACAAACGTGGACACCGAATCCTTGGGGAACTATCAGGCAAACATTTGGGATACGGGAGGATGTGGAGTGTTCGACTCTGTCAGACCACTGGCTTACATCGACTCTGATGTATTCATGATTTGTTTTGACATCACAAATCGTGAGTCGTTTGACAACTTAACCGAAGTTTGGCTGCCAGAGATTCAATTTTTTCAGCCGAACACACCAGTGCTTTTGGTTGGAATGAAATGCGACCTGCGAAGTATTTCGAGCAACAGGTGGGTTACTGTGTCAGAGCCCTCTTTCCAGTCTTCCTCATGTATCTTCAGTAGTCAGTCTGTAATGGTTTCTGCCAGTCCTTCGCAACTATGCAAGACTTATTGCGAGGATATATTTTCTTGCGTGTATTTCTTATGGATGAGATTTCTACTGAAAAAAAAGTTATCTGAGCATTAAGGCAATCAGTGAAATTGTATTTTATTTACATGCAGACATTTGGGTAGAGGAAATTATCTTTTAGAGTAATTTGCTTTGCAAAGGAAAAGATGGTCTGGAGCCTCTCTGTAAAACTTCTTTTTTTCTCCATTATACATTTTGGAGACTTGAAGCTTGATTGAATTAGGTGCTACTATCATTTGTTGGGGGACTTAAAAGTGTATGAGTATTTTCAACACTCCCAAAAACTATTAACTTCACATGGTAAGCTGAAAATCATGATATAAAAAAGTTTATTTTACTTTTGTTGTGCCCCTTTTTTGAGTTCAATTTTTCAACAATAATCAAAAGGAATTTGAAAATTTTTTTATCACAATGCAAGATCCACGGTCAAATTGGCACATAAACAATCTTTTATAACTTTATATTCCCTAACAGAGAATCTGATCACTTAGTATCAGTTTCTGAAGCAGAAAGTGTTGCGCATCAGATGGGTTTTGCATACTTTGAGACAAGTGCAAAGACTGGTGAGAATGTGGCATCAGCTTTTGAAAATGCAGTGAAGATTGGTCACACCAGTAAAAAGAAGTTGGGTGGCAGAAAACGAATGAAATCAGAGTTTGCTGATTCATACTTAAAATCTCTCACATCCATCAGTAAGTGGAAGCATGTATTCTGACACATTTATTGCCTAGATTTTTAAATATCCCATAATTGTAGAGGGTAAGTTACTACTATTTGGAAGGCAAGGCACTTGAACTGAAACATGTCTTGGTGTGGAAACTAAAGGGAACCTGTCATGTATCTTCTCAATAACAACATAGGTTCACTTGTGGGTTTCCTGAGCTAGATGTCTATTGGATATGCAGTCTTCCAAGAGAGTTAGCCATTGTAAATGCATGCATCTCTGATTTAAAGTCTATTTTCAACTTTGTGCCATGGTGTATGGTTAATATTTTCTCTCCTCCATGGTATTTTGGCCAGCTATTGCAGTAGAACAGCTCTCATGGAAGAGTTTGAATGTTCAAGATTAGAAATAATTCAGCATTTTAGTTGTTCTGCAATTGAAATGAGTGGACATTTGTAGAAGAGAAGACTTCTTTAGCTGATCAAAAACTACCAACCATCAGGTATAATGATATCATTCCTAACTATGGATAATCAGTTAAGTGTCAGACTCAAGGAAGCCACATGGGATGACCAACTGTTACAATTTTATTGTAAATACAAAGAACAAGATGCTAGATATACTGGCAGAGCAAAATATTGGACTTCATTCTCCATTATACATAACTTACCACTCACTATGCTCAAGCAAACTTGATTGATTAACTATATAACTACTCTTTTTTATGGTCCACAGGCTCCCCCCCAGAGTTAACAACAGATCCCTCAACTTATGTCAGTGACTTCAAGAAAATTCTGGAAGATGTTGCTAATGCAGATATTCTCTTCAAATTTGAAGATGGGAGTCAAAGCATTCATGCCCACAAAATTGTGTTTTGGTTTGGCATATCAGCTTTTAGAAGTGTTTTTTTTGAAAAAAATTGGAATTTTTGTGAAAAATTTCAGGATTGTTTTTTGGTTAAGGAAACTGAATTTAAAGGAAGGACTTGTGTAGTTTTGAAGAAATGGTTTTCCCGTGATATCTTTGTTCAAATTTTAGAGTTTTTATATACTGGCAAGGTGAGGATATCAAAAGACAGTGAACATGCAGAAGTAAATGAACTTTTAAATGCTGCAAAGAAGCTAGAAGTTGTTAAGTTGATAGATATCTGTGAAAAGCTGCTTGATGTTAAAGATGCTGTGAATCATTCAAAGGAGATGGCAGAAATATCCTTGCTGCCAAAGCACACTGTAGTGAATGATTTTTTTCTTGATGACAACTTGGCTGTGTATTCTGATGTGACATTTCTCATAGAAGGAACATTGGTATTTGCTCATAAGGCAGTGCTTGTTGCAAGATCACCTGTTTTGGCTGCTCTTCTGAGTGATAAGTTTGCAGATGGTAAAAGTACCCAGGTAGGTAGTTTATTTTAAGTCCACTTTAAGGGTCAATTATTTACATGAGGTCTAACCCAGACAATGGTTTTATGCAAGAGGTGGGCCTCAGGGATTCTCTATAAGAGGGTTGATTTAATGAATAAATGTCCTTCCACTGTAAGCTTTTGGCTCTCTTATGAAAGAGAGCTCTCTTATATGGACCTAAATTCACTCACTTACTTGATTCTTATCATTGAGGTAATGAATCTATGTCTTAAATCTTGGATTAAATGCATTTTCCTTGCCTTCCCTTCTTAGTTTGGTTCTGTCCTCGAAGTCATTCTATTGTCTTGTGTTCATATATGTGAGGGGTGGGACATAAGTGCAGTTGTTTACCTGTGAAAATGGAGTGATCAGTGTGCAATAATTCAAAATACTGTCTTGTGTCAGGCCAAACGCTAAATGATTAAGGTGGTTTTTCTTTCTTTTGCTTCATCTTTGATCTAAATACACCTTTTTAGATCTCACAAATAGGGGAAAAGGTGCAGAAGAATACTAAACTAGAAGGAAAAGGACTTGAAAGTCTTAAAATTGACAATGACTACAGACAATCGATATGAAAATATTTTGTTTGGCCAACAACTGAAGCCAACAGTTGAGAAACAAAACAAATGCAAGATGTAAATGACATTTACTTTAATTTGATTTTCTTACTCGTTGAAAGAACATGTTTATTTGGAATGTTTTTCAGGTAGCTTTGCCAGGAGTCAACTGCAGAAGCTTTTTAGCTGTGCTGGAATACCTGTACACTGATAACTGTACTTCCCTAGGGAAGATTCCAGCAGAGGATGTGCTTGTTCTTGCAGATTTCTTTTGTCTAACCCACTTAGTGCAGATTTGTGAAGTTCAAATGTATGGAGAATTGTTGAATATGACAAAAAAAGATTTGTTAGATGTTCTAGCATTTGCTAAGGTAAGTGGGTATACAAAACTCTCCTGCAAACCTCCTTTTTTCTAAATGATGTTTCATTTTAGCTGTTGTGGATGATATGATAAACTTCTACATGTATTAGAGATGCCAAAGTAGCCATAATGTAATAGAGACATTTTATTAGTTCTTATTTATTAGGTTTCATTAGGTTTGGATTGTCGTGGATCAGTTGCTTAATTTCTCCACTGTCCTGTACCACTTCTTTGGTTGGTCAGAATTATTAGCTCAGTATTCGTGTTTTTACTATTTTTCCTCAGATTTTTAATGCCAAGCAGGTAACAGAGTGGTGTCTTTATGTCATTGGCTTAAAATTCCTTAAATTCCAAAGTATCGAGAAAGAGCTTGAATTGATTGTTAGTGAACACAGTCAGTTCTTTGAAAAACATTGCTGGCCACCTCAAGACCACAGAAAAGTTCTCAAGAAATACAGGCAAAGAGTTAAATGGAATAAATGTGACAAAAGACAACTCAGTCAGAGGGCAAGTTCCTGTTTACCACTGAATTGTCATGTGATGTAGGATGTCAAAGAAAATTGGCCAGGCATTGTTGTTTGCTGAACCTGTAACCTGTTTCATTGATTACACCTAGTGATAAACAATTAGCAAGCTTCATATTTATGCCCCCTGTTTGAATATCATTGTAAAGTTTGATGCAGTTTGATTGGGTTTGTAATGATGCAAGTGATTAGCTAAATATGACAAGCTTGAATCCATAGTATGATTTGTTCATCACACATTGCATTACTGGTGTGCTAAAATGTTATTTCTTATTGTAACCAGCCTTATACTGTATTTGTTATATTTTGAACATTTTTGTCTGTTATAATATGATTAGTTTTACAGTTTATTGATAGCAATGTAGTTTTTGTTAACCATTTAGAGTGAATAATTATGTTTTTCAGCCAAAGGGCTGCTATATGATGTTGATAAACTATATGACTTTGTATTTAAACTGCATCGTGGGACTTGTCATTGTTTACGTTGAGACAGATTTATCAAAACAAATCACCTCCAAACCATGTGTGATAATTTTTACTATCATAGTGTTAAGGTGGAGACACTCCGTAAATACACTAGGAAATTCCCCACTTTTAATTTAACACACAGACGTCCCATGCCAAACAATGTTATTGTTATCCAAGAGCCACTGAAGGGAAAGAAATAGCCATTCTCTAATAAACCAGCAACTGATCTTTTTTTCGCAAACTTTTATATTCTTAGTGTCCCTTTTTCTGTTTCTGAAACTTTGCAGAAAATAGTTTGCGTTGATCAATTAAAAGCTCTAACATCCCCCTGTGCATTTTAACTTTGGAGGATTGTTTGTTCATATTCCCGCCCTGCTCCCAGGGCAAAAATTGTCTTCATGTGCCCCACCCTATTTATTTGTGAGAGGAAATATAAGCGACCTTAATTTTCTACACATTGAAGAAGCTTTAAAACCTCGACTTCGAAGAAAACCTTTTCTTCTGGGCCATTCGCGCGTGGAAGTGAACTATTTGCCTTTAAAAACCTCCATTGTGAAATATGAATTGTATTCCGCTAGAAAGACGTTACACTTCCGGTTCAAATGCTCCACCCCAGACAAGGAAGGTTCAAATTCCCCACACCCCGGGCATGGGTGACAGTCAAATACCCGTGCATTTCCCGAGGGGGATGTCGAAACCTTGAATTGATTAGCGCATTGCGCCAAGGGAAAAGGAAAAAAGGGGTGAAAAGAAAAGTAGCGTGTATCGAGGAAAAGCGCGCGTCCTGATCAGGAAATCATACAAGGCCCCGTTCAAACAGTCACTGATAGTTGACGATAGTTTCAACTTTGCGCTCAAATTATTCATGAAAGTTGTCGATAATGATGACATTGCGTAATTCTTAACAAATTGAGTCCGCGCTGAGGTCAGCATTTTCGGTGTCATTTAAAATTTTAGCCAAGATATCGCGAGTCGAAGATACTAAAGCCCACCAGAAGATATTGAGAATAAACCACGAGACATACTGTCAGATTTTGACAGCTACTTAAGTAATTTTACTATTGCCATCTCGGTTTGAGCCCGTTTTTAGCTTCACGGCTGACCGAAAAACTATCAAGCGTTGAAACGGCAAAAACTATCATAAACCATGTCGAATTTGAAAATATCCAGTTATTATAGCATTTGATAAACCATGAATTTCTTTGTTCCCAATAGACTGTGAAAAGATCCATGGAAGCCATATAAAGCCAGGATTCTTTCACCTTACACCAACAGCTAAGGGATTTCTGGACATCCGGGCGGAACTCGTCTTGAAACTTGGAAGTAACGATTTCTGTGGCCTCCTTTTACATAATTTGATACGTCACTAAACATTTTGAAAGCATCATAAGAGATTGTGTATAGAGTATATATGATACATGGCCACACAGAGATATGAAATTTCCCTTTGAGTGTTGAAAAATATTATTTTCACGCTCGAAGAACAAAATTTCGGATCTCCATGCGGCCATGAATTATTCTATTTATTATACAAACACTGATGAAATACTAAATCAAAGGCGCTGCATCGTAGAGGCGCAATTTCTATATGTAACCATAACAACAGTGACCTTTTTACTTGTGGAGATATTACATGTTTTCGCGCTAAAGCTCATTTGGTATTTAATTAGTGTTTTAATAAATAGATAATGTATCAACTGTTTTTCGTGAAAAAATTCCTCTTCTGGACTTTATATACTTCACTTTATCTTACAACAGTTAAATACAATTTTCACTTTGATGGAACCTTTTATGATCGATTAGGGCGAAACTGGGTCAATTTCAAGGTAAATTCTCTGCGCAGTTTCTTTATTATAATTAAGAAACTTGTAGTTAACGAAAAAATTGATAGGCATTGAAGCTATACCGGTTAATGGGCAAGAATTACTGGTGATGCAATAATCTCGTTTTTCGAGAATTTTACGACGTTCCAGTTACAAATCCAGTAGACCTATAAGGGATTCAGTTATTTACGTAGGTTTTTGAACCGTTTCATAATATCCATCAGAAGCATTTTAAGACGATGAAGAAGTTTCCTATGAGGCCGTTTCTTTGAAAGTTAAAAACACGTCTCTAAGCTTTCACCAATACGCGGTATCATCCCTGAAAATGTACAAATTAGCAGATGTAACGAAGCACGAGTACGAAAACCGATTATTAATTTGTTTTATTTTGACAATCTTCTCCTAGTGCGTTATTGAATCTCGTGCACAAAATTTACGATCAATATCCTATTAAACCTTTTTACAATACCCTGTGTACACATAAAGCCTAATGGGCCTCGATGATGCTTGCACGACACAACGTGCTGGCTTCCTTCCCTTTTTCTTTCCATTCAGTTATATCGATATTATGGTGTCATTTTTGCAGTTACAACGATCGATTAAAGTAATGGAAAGAACAGATTAAATTAGTGACCTAAAAGTAAATTCAGTATGGAAATGACGAGTACAAATCCTGCAAAACTGGGGGAAAGCGGAATAAGCCATCAAATGAACATCAAATGTGCCCTCGCACAATTAACAGCTATTCGTTCATTCAGAGATAAATACAAAATTCTTACAAAATATATGAATGGCTGACATTAGTGGTAAGCAGTTACTTTTAACGTAGCTTCTCTAAATATACACGATTCACTTCGTCAACTCCTAGTTTTAAACAGTCAAAATTCATGGTACATTTGAAAGTTGGTTCTTGCGCATGACTTTTGGCGCTCGATTCTTTCTTGTAATGCAGTCAAAATTAGCGCGGTGTCGGTCACGTGATGAAGGACTTGAAAATGCCCTGCCACACTTCTCACAGGTGTAGGGCTTGGCTCCTGTGTGCATGTTGATATGAAACTTAAGTTCGTAAGATTGTGCAAAGGCCTTGCCGCAATATTCACAAACACAAGGCTTTTCCTTCGTGTGGGTGCGGCGCACATGGCTGTCATGTGCTGCATGTGACGCAAATGCACGTTCGCAGTGCTTGCACTTGAACGGCTTTTCTCCGCTGTGTTGACGAATGTGTGTCCGGAGAATGGAGGAAGCGGTAAACGCTTTAACACAATGTGGACACTTGTAAGGTCTTTCTCCGCTGTGAACCCGCATGTGTTTATTGAGGCTGGATGACTGAGAGAAGCGTTTTCCACACTCTGTGCACTGATGGGGACGGTGCTTTTCGTGAACATGGAGGACGTGGATACGAAGCCGATCCCGTTTGTCAAAGGATCGATTACAGACAGTACACGGGAATTTACGATCGCCTTGATCAACGCATCGGGTGTATTTAAGGTGGCGGTCACGGTAATATTTGTAGGCAAACACTTTACCACAACGTTCACATGAATATTCAGTTGACGGATCTGATGAGCAATAAGGAAATAGATAAGGGTTATCTAGAAACATGATACAATTAACCCTGGTGATCTTAGTTACCATTGATTCTAACATAATCATAAGATAAAGCGCAAAAAAAGAGAAATTGAGTGAATAGTTAGTATCCGCCACATCGCTGTTTAACGTACCTGTCGACTCCTTTTGTCGAATTTCATTCTTTGAGGCACCAGTTTTGAGTCCGACGGGAATCCCCATGGTCTGGAAATAGCAATCACCGTACCAAACCAGCAGCTCTTCACCCATCGAAATATCCCGACAACACTCGTAAAATATCTGGTCGCCATCTTGAACTAACACAAGGTTCTGCTCGCCATCATGTCTGGCACAGTTGACAAACTTCATCCAGTTTTCGCGTTCGTTTTTTCCATCAATATAATGGCTGAGTCCCCTGTCACTGAACACCTTGTAAAAATGTGACAAAAATTCAAGGTTTTGTGGTCATAAACAAATGAATTCTTTCGTAATGCACGTTTTAGCGTGATACTTTGGTAAATCAAGGCATCTACTGATCCCCTTGTCCTGTGGTTCATATGGACGTGACGTCATGACTTCTTACTTGGTCAACCAATTAAATGAGCGTTTAACATTCTTGTGAAGTAATTCGAAATTCGATCATGCACGAGATAATTTGGTGTTATAATAATAATTTATAACAATTTGGTAGAGTTGATAATGAAAATTGGTCACCCAGAATAATTTCTGAAGCTGAAGTTTCGAACGTTAGCCCTTCGTCAAAGCGAAACATGATTTATTGGCTTCGACGAACGCTTGAAACCTCATAACTTCACCAGGGAGCCCCTGGGGCTTTAAAAAGCGAAAATTACATTCCATGAATGATACGACAATAAAACATAAAACTTCTGAAAAAAAAAACCTCACACGAACGGTAAAAATAGATATTTTGCAAACAAGGTCAGTTGATGGTATATGTTATGTTAACTCATCTACGAAGAGCAAGAGAAAATCAGAATCCCTGTGTTCTTTTAGTGTACTCTGTAACCTTTCATTCATTTCTCACCTCCCACATAAAAGCGGTATCACCACCATTGGCGGTATCTGACGGTTTAACTGCCGTTCCTTTGTAAGGACCATATCGTGTACCCTTGGTAATCGATGAGCAAGAACACAGTACGGCATGATGAATTCCTGACTTTATTTTTGCTCCAATGAGTTGAAGTCCCAAAGGAATTTGGGTTGGAAGCTCAACCTTGAGTGGAACAGCTGTTCCGCATATGAAGCGGACTTCTGGACTATCTTCGGAATTATCTAGGGAATGGAAATGATACAGAATCAGCATATATCACAAGAAACTTCTCTTCTTCACAGTCTGTATAGCATTATTGTAACGGGCGAGTTTTTTTCCCATCAACTCAAGCAGTTAAAGGAAGATTTATTTATTACTATTCTACTATTACACTAATATATATCGATAATAACCCCTGTGTCCACCCAGAAGGCGACCGCCGAGCGCGCGTGAGGACACTCGAGTGAAACAACCTCAAGTACGAGATAATCTACTTTAACGACCCACCATTGCTTTCTTTCTCCTTGAGCTGATCATGTGTCGCTGTCACAGAATAGTGTTAAAACACCACAAGTGAACAACATGGCTAACTGACCGACGCTTTAGTTCCTGGCAGTTTGTAAAAAAGTCAAAAACACTTAGAGGGCGGAGAGGTGCGGTCGTGCCTAAACGTCACATGATCACACCCAAGCAAGAGCAGGTTAAAAAAACATCAGCTGAGATACCTTGTTTACTAAAGAAAGCGAATTTCGTGACCCTTCATCTTATAATTCTGATTCTTTCAGGTCTATTTTGTCTGTAATTATGTTATGGTGTTGATCGATCCATTTATTTCTTTATTCTTCTTTTTTTTTCAGGAAAAAAAAATGACATTATTTCTCACTTCAAACTTGGTTCATTTTATTATTATTCCCATTGTCGTTGATATATTAAGTATCATTACTGTTGTCATCACTTGGGCTCATTATTGTTATCATTATCGTTAGTTATATTTTTCCGAAAAGAAAATTTACAACATTCTGCCAGGACGTCAACATCTATCAGAGTTACCATACAAAGGACACCACCTTTTCCAAAGGTTGCGTTTGGCGCTAGATCGGGCAAAAGTTAAAACAAGAGATTAATTTATAAATTATGCGCTGATTCTCCAGTTTGCTTGTTGTGTGATTCATTATGTTCGCGGGATTACCAAAGGATACGTATGCCTTAGTCTTAAAACGTGTTCCCCGTAAATCGTGGAATTGCAAGTTACCCTCGTCCGCGTACTCGTTTAATCGAAAGAATCGTTCAGTCGGAGGCCTCTATCCAGAATGTTCCTCTTGGTAAAATTGTTGTATTAAAAGTCTAACAGGAGAATAGGAAAGTGGAGAATCTTCGGAAGACTTTTACAAGCTGAAGAAGACGTACAAGTGCGCAATCGAAATTGTCAACATAAATTGTAAAATCGGTTAAAATATAAAGTGTCCACTCGGAAGATAAGAACCTTTAATTAAATCAGTACACTATATTAATATATTTAGCAGTGGTCCAATTTTTTTTTGCCCTTCTTTCCTTTGACCTATGACCTCTTAAGAGGAGGATGACTATCTGAATTTGTTCCCACTTCTTCAGATCAGTTTCGGGTAAGTTTGATGTTAAACTCTTCTTGTTCTGTAGCCAAAGTTCTTTAAACCTTTCTTTCTTCTTTTTAAGAAGCCGCTCAACCCATCATCACTGGAAAAAAACAAAGCGGCCCTAACAAAAAGCTGGATCCCTTAGGAACTTTCAGGAATCTGAAACATCATTACTATTCCAGATGCACAATTAATTACAATTGATAGAATTGTCCCAACCGAAATCACGTTCGCTCCAAAAAAAAATGTTTGTTTTTACCTTAAATTAGAGCAGACGTTTTGAATTGGTCAGTTGTGTTGCGCAAAAACCAGAACCTTTCAGCATGCGTTAACAGTTAGACGTATAACGTGACTAGCGTAACCTTTCGTGATAAAGTTGAAAATCAGTTTGGTGCGCGCCCCCTATTTTTACAGCAAATCTTTTCCTTTTCAAACCTCGAATTCACTTCGCATTATCCTATTTTGGCTTCTTAGCAACAATTCTGCTTACAGAGAATGTTTCTCCTAAAGCAAGCAGAAAGCTGCTTTCTAATGTTTCCCAGGAGAGTGGAAGTACGTAAAAAATTTCCATTATAAAGTCTACAAATACAATGGCTCGTTACGGTGCTTTGCATCTTTCTGTTTTTGATGTTTGGTCTTGATTAACTATTGTAGGCCACCGGGCAAAACGAAGCTCGTGGTAATAATTACAACATAAAAAAACAAAAGAAAATCAACACAGTTAATGACAAAGCATACAACATGTTTCCTAACTAAAGGTAGAGTTTCCTAACAATAGTTTTTCTAAGAAGAGCAGTAATCCCAGCTTAACCACTGAACATAAACAAAATCATAGTGGAAAGTAATCTTGAAAGGCGAGCTAAATCAAATATTACCTCTTGAGTGACGGTTGACTTTCATGGTTTCATCTTTGGAGGTAAAGTAGCCGAAAAGCGACACATTCAAATCTTTTGAAGTAAATTCCCAGGTGACTGAAATGTTGTTTTCGTTCAACCCAAACTTCTCCTGGCCCTTGTGATCTCTTCTATGCATCTCAACCTGAAATTGCCTGAAAAATTGAATATGGAAAGGAAAATTGTTATCTAATGTAAATATTTCTTGGTATGTTACCAAGGGTTCAGAGAGTGTCGTGTAACACTTTACTCTTTGTCATCACCAACTCGCAAATAAAAGGCCGGTAATTTGCATCCTTGGTTATTACATTAGACTCGCTCTAAAACAACGCGCACAGAATTGTAAACTCAGCAGTAGACACACCGGGGCCTAACGTTAAAACTTTCAATCGAAATGATCTCTCGAGCCATAATAGACAATTCATTTAAAATTTAATTTTGAAAGCAGTGGGTCAGTAAGTCTCACCATACTAATATATCACGCTCAGATTTTGTTATTCCAAGCTTCGAAAAACTTTCTGCATTTGCTCCCATCAAATGGATAGTAATATCTGCAGGGCTTTTCAAACTGTTTCCGATATTTACACTGTTTTAAAGGCCCAGGATTCAACTGGACGAATTGCAAGCCTCATTCCCGAAAAAGGCACTCTCTGGTTGTGAGTGGCACGCTTGAATTTATTCCTTCGTTATTACAGCTTATTTTTAAACAACATTTTAGTTTCATTTGTACTAGGTTAGCATTGAGAAGAAACTAAGTTCTAACACATGCGATAAAAATTTCATTGGGAGATTGGTCGATGTTAACTAGAACTTACCTTGAAACGGTTGTTAGCTCCAACTACTGTCTCTAACCACTTATGACCTTCCTGGCCCTGCTGACCAACACTGTACACGCGCCAATATTTATAGGCACATGAGCATGCGCACTAGCTTAAGCCGACTGCTCCAGGTAACAGTTCAAATTAGTTTTTCGTCTTTAAAATTCGTACCAAATTTACATGTGAACTAGTCTGAGCTAATGGTACGATAAAATTTCTTTGAATCTTCGTAATAACTCTGAGTGAAATCAAGAATTGCCGCGATTTAGAGAAAACTCATCGCATATTTCAAACGGACTCCAGATGTCTTTGCCTTCGGATTTGATGCTTTCAAATTCAACGATTGATTGTGTGACAACGAGTACCAACAAAGTAAGCAACAATCTTCCATTTAAAGAATGATCAATGATCCTTTACAAGTGAATCCAAAATTGCGTTGCGTCAGGGATATATATTGTTGCCAATCGTATGTTATCATGTCACCGCTCTTTATACTGGCGGCTATTACAATGCTGATTGTTTTTATTGTATTCAAGAATTGTGTGATATCGTCTAATGATGTGGCCGCATGCCATAAGGATCTTGTAAGTTGCTGGTCACTATCCCACTAGAAGACCTTATTTTGCTGTGTTACCCGTATGTAAACGCGTCGCAAATTTTGTGTGGCATGGAACTCCACCTTCAAATAACCATCATTAGTCTTCAAATCGCTACAATTTGCGCATTCAAACCTAAATAACTGACGTCTGCCTACCAGTCAAAATGGATCAAACTAATGAGATATTAATTGTTGATCCATCACCCAACTCCCTTCGACTTATTTTTTTCTCTCCTGTGGAAATTAAGGGAAGCCTTAAAAGCAACAACAATAACGAAACAACTTGGTATGACCACAGATTTAAGCATAAAATAAGCCATTAAAATTTATAGTCTGCCAGCAGATCCTCCATTTTCCCTGAAGTTGTAATAAGAAAAAGCGAGCGAGCAAAGGGTTGTTACGGATTTAACGACAATAAAGCGACGTAGTTGCATTTCAATCAAGAGGTAGCATCAAAGGGCAAAACTGACTCTCAAATCCCAATGAAAGATAAAAGTCTGACAAAATATTAGTTGCATAGTTCTTAATATCAGCTTTCCTTGGGAATCGTATCACATTTGTACCGTCAATTATATCTATTCTTCCACGCACGTGATAAAAACAGAACATGTTTTCATCACGAGCGTGGAGGGGTAGAGGGTATTGTAGGCAACGTAACTTAAGTTATCACCGTAATACGTTTTGGGAATATATATTGAAAAAAAGAATTAAAAAAAAGGGAAAAAAAAGGAATAAAACCAACTGGTCTACCTTAATGCCATACTCGATCAGAAATGTTTGCTTCAGCAATTGACTACAAAAGCTTCACACAACTGCTTAATACTGATCTAGAGCAGAGCAAGCTTTGGCGCGATTCTTATAGCCAAACTATTAACTTTTTTAACACAAATAACGTTATTATTAAGAGAAATTAATGTCTCATTTTTTATTTTGTGATCATTACACTGTCCAGGAAAAAGGAAATCGGGAGTAAATATCAAGATAGGGATATCCAACAGAGTTGTCAGTGGTGCAAGTCTCCCTCCAAAACAGACTGTACCACCACAGATATGGCGACATGTTGCAGTGTTATTAAAAGTACAATTTTTTTTTAGTAAATTCTCTGCTATTCGTGGTTTATTGTTACTAATAGTGACATTTATACGAGGGACCAATTACAAAAAGCTTTTCATGGTTTGGAATAAACCAGTTTAGTCGCGAATTATTTACACAGTGGGACTAACAGACCCACTTCTCTCAATGTTTCGTCTTGAAACAAATTTCCATCATTTCCGAGATATATTTCCCTTAAATATTCTTTTACGTCAAGCCTCGACACGTCTACCATAGGATTTTTAACTCTGTAAGCGTAGTTAGCGAGGCCGATGTTCTAAACAACGATGCAAACTACTGGCCTTTTGTTCGCGATTGGCGTTAAATTGGGAGATTCAGAAGAAAAAAGAAAGGTTGTAAAGGTGTTCTGCCACCAGGATGATTCAGAGAAGATGCGAAAGGAGGCACAAGATACGTAACCAAGTCCGCACAAGTTGATCCTTAATTCAAATGAAACACAACTACAGTATTTTTCCAATAAACAAGTTCTAAACAGACAATCAAGTTTTATTCACTTTTTTTTTTTAGATTTCGACAAATGAAGAATCATTTCAAAGATGAAAACAAAGAATATTACAAGGAAAAACTGAGTAAATAAAAATAAATACAAGAGCAAGTGTCCGCATTTCTGGGTTGAATGTTTGTTTGGTTTGCTTCAGGTTTCACGGTACTTATGTTGTAGGTTAAACAGAGTAATTGATCATATCATGCAGTTCAAAAGGCTTCTGCATCGTCTGGGGCATCCAAGTCTTTATACTGAATAATCTGTCTGGGGTCACGATGGAAACCGCCCCTGTTATAAAATGAAAAAAAAATGGTTTTTCGTTTAAAGTGAAAACAGTCCATGAAATGTTTACTGCTTCACTCCGCACGAAAATAGGACGTAAAGAACAGCTTTCGCCCATCGTGAATAAAGTGCGTGACTCATATACCCACAAACGTAAACCAAACAGTTATCACCGAAATTTCTCAACAAATAATAAAACACGAAATTTCTTACAGGGCTATTAAAATTTAATTCAGAGAAGCAGAAAAAACCTCACGAGGCGTGTTCAGGTTTTGCATCATTTCTTGGTATTTTGTGATCAGGAAAGTAGAGGAATCCACACTCTAACTGCATCTCTCTATAATCTGCTGATCATTTCCAGAACCAAGTGCAAAGTAGAAAGCCTTATGACCTACCATTAATCGGGGACAGGTTAATTTTTGAGTAAAGAGCAGACTGCTTAATTAGAAAAATGAAAAGGGAATATAAGGCTAGGATAAACCTTATTCGCAATCCATTTAACATCCGCCTTCCATTTGTAGTTCAAAACTCCAATACAATAATCTGGCGCGTGAATGTTTTCATGAGTTTTAGCTCTTGAAGACTCACATTTCAGCCAAACTTTAGCCCTTAACAAGAAATAGAACAAACACTAAGTACCGAGCATTATCACTGATTCCCGGCAAAGATACGCAACGTGAAAATTTCCTGAACTAACCTTTCGCTTACTCTATTTCTTCCTCCGCCAAACCCAAATCTACAAAATATGAAAGAAAAACACATTGAACTAGCGTTGTTCATTCAATCACTGATTTGCCGTTTTTGTCTCCTTTCAACAACAGATATGGCGTTCTAACCTGCGTGGCTTGGGGGGAAACGTATGTCCTCTGCCGCCATACATTTCATGACCGTAGCCTCCGTATGCTGGGGGAGTATAAGGTCCGCGAGGGCCTACAACACGTCAAACATTCAATTAGCACAGTCGCTTCTCACCATCCACAGTAATCTCCATCAAAGGCGCTGTTTGCCGAACTTAACAGCACCCCTATTCAGGGGAGAGTAGCTAGAATGAAAGCCAAAATGGTCTTTAAGGCGCTGAATGGTATGCTGCCATGCTATCTCTCTGAAAAGTTTCCAAGATTCAGCACTCTTCACTCGAGGAACGCACGTAATGATTGCGGAGACTTAATTCTAACTCGTGTTAAACACTCATATGGACAGCGCTTGTTTGCTTTTAGTGCGGCTAGACTTTGGAACAGCCTACCTGATGAAAAAAATAGGACTGCTTTTCCTTGAGCTCATTTATCAACGAAATTAGGAAAACAACTCACTAATTTATTTTTGCATCTATTGGAGAATGACTTTGCAGTCATCGATATGTGGAACAATTATATTATTTACATGGCAATTTTGTTCGTTTTGAATTTTTTTTAATGTTTTTGTTTTCCGCAAGGTCGATTACCTTGTAATATTTGCGCCACCCTCAATAAAGAAACAATATGATTAGTATAACCTATACTCCACTGTTTTTCCCTTTAAAGTACCCATTTACAAAGTTTTTTTAATTCCTTTCCTAGAGAGTACGAGTTAATTCTCTCTTCTGATTCAAATTACATAATAAAAATAAGACCTAATAATGTCAAAGGATCTTTGAATCAATCGCCTTCTGAGCCAGTTCATGTACATTCTGCACAACACAGCAACAACCTCACAAGCTCAGAAAGGCCAAATATAGTTCTCTTATTTCCTTTGATAGGGACAAAATGCTCATCGCGAGAACAGCTTTTCATTATTCTCTGATTTCAGGAAATTTATTTCCTCTCAAAATAACAAGCAACAATTACCGCTCCAACTGTAACAAAAAATAGCAAAGTTACAATGGAATGGTACCTGTGAATTTCAATCGGAAAGTATTACCCAAACACTGAAATCAATAGAATATCCTCATGAAAACAACAAGAATATTGCAAAGACTAGAAAATATTTTAGTATAAACGAGGTTTGGGTGGATTTCAGTAATGGAGTCATCATGCATAAGGGCTATTTGGCAGCTTTTGGGGAATACCCGTGGGAATTTTAACTCCTCATGTTTGTGACTTACCATACATCACCATTTGAGGCCTGGGACCCCATCCCATCATGGTTTGCGCGGGCTGATGTCCATACATTTGGCCCACGTGGTTTCCAGGTGGACGTTGAGGTGTGGGAAATTCCGGTATTTGTGGCCGTCTGGGATCTGATAAGTAATTGTTAAAAAACTCGGCCTACCAAAAAGAAGAAAAACAAAAAAAACATGCTTCACCTTCACTGGACGTCAACAAATGGATACCTATACCATATTCGATGGTTTAACCTATCACATGAGCGGATATTTATCGAGTTGCGTTGTATTTTCCCGAACCCCGTAGTGGCGTGAAAAAATGCGGGCAACGAGCAAAATGTCCGCTCATCGAATAAGGGATTTATTATTCCGCTAATTTCTAATGTTTTGACTTCTAGTTTTCAAAATACATCCCACACCCTCATAAGAACTTCTCATCGATTCCATAAGGCGAGCGCGAGAGACGAAAACAACACCAACGAAACCATTAAAGCGTTAAAATCTGTAACGCTTCAAAGTTCTTTGTTAAAGGAGTGAAACCTAAACAAGGGGGAAAACACAAAATTTAGACAACATAGTGTTCATTAAAAGGAACCTAGGACGTGTCTGCCTCACCTCCATCTTGACAGCTTCTACTTTATCCATGTGTTTGTTAAAGATGTGCTTTCGAACAAAGTCAGGACCTCGGAATTTTTTCCCACTCAGTGGGCAGAGCCACTTATCTTTCGCGAGTTCCTGAGTGTTTGCTTCAACAAACTTCTCTATTTCAGTAGTCATTGTTAAGAAATAGTAACATATTGTATATTGGTACTTTCAAACTTGCTTGGCTTTGGATGACCAAGCGGCACCAAACAAATAAAGTAACTTTGAGATCGAACAGGCGTTCCAGTAAATTTAGCCTAGTTCCATGGCATATCCTTGGAACTGGGAATAGGCAAATTGATCAGCCCTGGCCTGCTGATCGTTCGTTTTAAATAACGACGATCAGTTTCTGTGCTATTTCAATACTTCTCGATAAAAAAGAAAAACAAACGTTTCCTTTCATTTTGCAACACTAATAAACAACAACAACAAAAATAACCATTACAAGAGGAAAAAAAAACGTTTTCAAAGTATGTAAATTTCAGGTACCGAGTTGATGCCCAGCACAACACACATACTAGTGTATGGGATTCATGATTCAATGTACGCTCGAATTTCACGCAAAGGAGTATTAAGAATTCAATTTTCCCGTAATTCAAATTTAATTCGACAAAGAATCACACATTGTTCGGGCGAGAGAAGTACATCAGGGAAAATGAGCAACCCACATATGCTGTTCAAATAATTCAAGGATATGCTTCAGGGTCTTTCTTTCCAAGCTGAGCAACCTCTTCATCCTTGAGCGATTCTTTCTCTTGTAGAAATGGTTCAAGCTTCTGATTTATTCCAGTTTGCCATTCTTGGACTGACACAAAACACAAAGTAGCACTATCAATACATTTTTAAAATCCCTTTTGTATCTTACTAGTTGTCGACTCCTTGATTGTGAGAGTTTTCACTTCGGTACTCCAACTATTTTGTTTAGAACACCGATTACTCAGCGAGGTAAAGGTAAGGACAGAAAAGTTATCGGTGATTTATCAATAATATACCCTGAAAGATTTGGGCTTACACAATTCTCACAGTTCTCAAGTATTATCTCTCACACCAACTCTATCATAAGTAGTAGTTAGGTTTCAAATTTTTTTCTAACCCTAACTTCTAGTTATACGGAAAAGTAGGAAGTACGTTAGATCTAGATTGAAACCCCCAGCCCAACGAAAAGAGAAACTATCGTAAAAAAAACTAACTCAGAAAGAGAAGAATCTTTACCAAGAGACAGTTTACCGAAGGAATGCGTCAAATCTTAATGTCACGGTATTCTGGTCAACGAAGGGGTAAGTTTCTAAAGAAACTGTGCTGCTGCGTTGGTTGGGGCGGGGATGGGTATAACAAGATAATCTGCTTTTATCAACTGAGTTGATAACCTACATTGGCCTCCGTAAAGAGTTTTTAAAGCTGATGTTTCGAGCGTATGCCCCTCGTCAGAGCGAATAGAGGAATTAATAACTAACCTTTGAAACGTCCGGTTTATAAACTCTTAGCGGTGGTTAATTCACATTATCAACTCAGTTGATAAAACCAACTGTATTGATATCCCAGTCACCCTCAGTTTTACTTTCAAAAGGGAATTCACATGTAAAACGAAAAGAAAAAAGGTGAAAATAGTTTGTATGTTTGTACCTTCAGACAGAGTACACTTGTCAGGCGTGGCACCACGCACATGAATGATACCACATCTATTGGGCATTTCATCTTCGTAAGGGTAGTCTGTGCCATTGTAGTAATCCACTGAATGCACCACCCTTAAATACAGAATCAAACGATCCAACACACGCATAAGACTGCTGTCACACGATAAATCAACCTCGGGTTTCTCCTCAGTGTCCCCCTGAGAAGTTGAGGCTGTTCGCATAAGCTCCATTTCCTCGCCTTCTTCTTCCTCGGCGGCATCTTGCGACAGAGAAGAGAGAATCGGGTTTTCATTCGGGAGGTCCGGTATTTCACATTCATCAGCAGGTTTAGCTTCACACTCTTCACCCTCCTCCGTTTTCTGTGCAGCAAAAAAGAGTAATGAAAATGAGATGTGAGAATCCCTGAACACTTCTCAAGACCTTCCCATGTAGAATAAAGCATGAATTGAACGGTTGGACAGAGGAAATAATTCTCAAAGTATTTCAGATCAAACCGCGGTTCAAACTCCGCTGCTAACATCCACAATACCGGCAAACCATCTTAAACATAATCACACTTTGTATGACCTAGAGATCTCTTCCTTCAAGTCTCACGGTTTCCCGTTAAAAGAACATGAAAGCTTACTTGCAGTTAGGACTCGGTGATCTAAGAACAGGCTAACGAAATTGGAAATATCGTAACCCACACTAGTACACTCCTTGGGTTAGAGAGCAGATAAGCCATCGATTAAAAACGTCTCTAAATAACAAGAGAGAGACAGCAGAACAAAAATTTCCGAGGCATACCCCGAGCCTGCAATAGAAAAGCGGTCAAACTTCACCGAAATACTTCCTATAACAATGTAGTGCCTGACCAGGAATACAGTTTACCAGTTGAGACGACATCACCAAGATATTGGTTATGGCGAATGAGTATCGTCACATAAACCACCCAACGTTAGGCAACAATGACTCATTTCAAAGGAAAAAAAAGAACAGTTTCTTCGTCGAGTTTTACAAAAATGAAACAAATTCTGACTCCTTTTTATAATAGCTTTAGGGTGCCTTACGATACCAGCCTAATAGAAATTTGGGTCACCTACTTAAGGGCCCTTCTTCGGTATTACAAGCCAAAAATTATGGGTATCATTAATTAAAAAAAGAAGAAGGGTATAACCACGCACAATGTCTGTGTAAACTGTTGCAATGTTTGTTTTTGGCTAAAATGTTCTTGCATTTTCGTAACACAGCCAGCATTACAAGTACATGTTCTGACTATGTGTTGCAAAGCAAAATTCAGTGTTGCACAGGATCACATTTATTAACCAAGACAATGGAAAAGATGCGCCATGCTCGGTGCCGACTGTGCAAATAAAAAGAATTTCCAAGAATGCCAAAAGATTTAATAAATCAAGAAGGCTGTAGATAGCTTTTACCTCAGCTGCTTCTTTCTCGGCCTTTTCCCTCGCTTCAGTCTCTTCCTTGGTCTCCTTCTCATATAAAGCAGCTCTCTTATCAAACTCTCTGATGAGCCTCGCCGCTAACTTGATGTCATGCCGAATGGCTTGTTTAGCCAAAGCAGCACCGGCCACCGGTCGAACTCGCCGGGAAAGATCCCTATTCACAACTGGACTCAACTCCACATCTTTTACCTTCAGGAAAGAAAGGTGTTGGTATGGTTTGTCACTTGTCGCGGGAAGGCTTGGTAAACGGTATGTCCATAGGACCATAGGAGTAAATTACAAACATTCTCTGTTGTATTGTTGTCGTTTTGTAGCTGGGTACAATAATCACAGTTTACTCTTCATGAACAATTACAGATAATGAAGAAGATTAACAGAGGGTCATCCAAACAGAGCCAAAGGCACTCTACCCAAAATAAAAGCAATTCTCTGCCACTTTCACTTCCATGTATGAAACTTTGGGAATTCAAAGATTAGATCAAAAGGTGACAATAAGTGGAATGTAGCAGCTATTTTCCTAAGTTTATGACGTAAATTAATAGTCGTTCAGTAAAATTGTTTGAGGGATGTTCTTTTTTTTTACTTGTGTTAAGAATGACTAATCAGAGGATATATTACAGATGTGCAAGATAGATTAGTTGAGTAACAGCGTTAACATAGTGAGGGTTGTCCTTACCCGTATGTTATTCAAGTCCCAACAAATTTCTTTTATGTTTACACTCCTGTCAAAAGTGATCCATCCTCGTCTAACAAATCTTCATAAGAAAACACACAGGTCAGGTTATTACATTGGATTTCTATGAATAAACACAGCTTATAATTAAAGTTTTCCTTCTATCACTCTTAAATCCCCCCATCCTTATCTATGTGGTATATCCAGCTAATGTTAAGAGGGCCTCTAACAACAGTCAAAGAGACTTTTAGTAGCTAGGCCATTTGGCCCATGATAGATCCAATATTCAAAATATTACTACCTGACATTAAAAAAATAAAAAAATAAAAAAAAAATCTTCTTCCCCCTTCCTTTTCAATGCTGCTCTTTCCTTTTCATTCTGAGGAAAAATAACACTTTGAAAGAGAGACAGGGTGCGGGTACGATTTGGGTGTATATACCGAGGCAGTTTTTTTCTGCAGTTCTAGGTTCGTGAGACAATCGTACTTCAAACTACATGGATTTGAATGTTCCAATTTGGAAGAAATAGGCCCGCTGTTAATAAGAAAGAAACACAAGAAAGAAAACACTGTTTAAGTGGAAGAAAACCTCAATGCCCCACGCACGAGTTGAACGTTTGACTTTCCAACTTGCAGTTTAGGAGCTCAACCACTGAACTATTCGAGACTTAATATAGCTTGGCCAAGATATTGATCTTTCCATCAAAACATCTTTGTTGATTTGAAGGGAAAAAGGGCAGAGGAGGAAGGGTGTGAAGTGAAACAAACATCGACTCATTTATATCATTGAGATAGCAAAATGTTTGTCTCTAAATTACACCTTGTAGATGGTACCAGCTAGAAGTACAATTGGATGAAAAACATAACTCCTTTAGTGTTTCAGTGACGTAACATGAACTATACAGCTTGATTTCCAAGGACATGTACTCACTTTCTTTCAGGACTGGGGTCTGACAGGGCAACCCGAAGAAATCCAGCGAATCTTTTACAAATCTAAAAACACAATAACCTTTTATGTGAGAGTTGAAGTCGAGATTCATAGATATGTTAAGAATTGTCCTCAAAATAATGTTATTTTGTCATGTTATAAGCTTTCCTTCACAAAAAAGCCAAACAAACCAAATCAAAGCAAACTTACAGCAGAAATGTCAGCTTTAGAAATGTTTGGTGGTACACTTCTCATAAACAGTGAAAATGTTTTATGCAATGCACGGGGTTCTGCTGTCACACAGACTTGCTTCCCATCAGAACCATTTGCCTCATCCTTTTCCTCTCCCTCTTCTGTTGTATCTTTTTCTTTTTCTTCTATCATTTTTTCTTTATTTTCTTTCGGGATGTCCTTGACAGGACTTGTTTCTTCAACAATTTCCTTTTTTTCTGAAACTTTGTTGGAATCCTCTTTAGTTTCCCCTCCTTCCATGGCTTCAGCTTTTTGGAGAACCTAAAAAGTTTTTTCATTGGATAAATAGACTGTTATCTTCTTTATCATACATAGCATGTTTTTTTCGTTTGTGCCAGTTTGCTTTCAATTTCTATAAAGCGAACACCACAGAGTCTGTCTCTAATGATGTCTTTTGGAGGCAGAGTTAACAGAAAGCACAATCTAAGCATATCACCGATGTATCAGAGTCTAAAATCAAAACAATCAGAACACAGATGTAGCCACAAATCCAGAGTTGGCAACCAGAACCTTGCAATTCATTACTAGCAGTAAACTCAACTTTGATTATCATGTAAACAGATGTGTTAATGACGCTAATTTCTGTGGTGCTTTGTTTATCTGGTGCTACATTTGATTCAGCACCATGTGGGACCCCCTTGTGGCTGGTTAACAAAACTGTAATTGGAGGTAGAGCCTAAAATTAACCACTCTGACTACATGTTAAGGTGACTAAACCTTTGATTGGTTTTCAGTACACTCCTTTTGTGAAAAAAGGTTAATCTTAGCCCTTGAGCATGAGACACAATGTGGTTAATGTTGTTCTTGAAGCACAACATTTGCATACAAATCAATGTTCACCTGTTCACTTGCAGGTTTGGTCAGTTCAGATGGCAAGGAAGATGCACTTGATGGCTCTGCCTCCATGGACACTACTTTACCCTGGGCCTCACTACTGCTTGGTTCTGGGAAAATTTCACTGTTGTCTTCTTTTTGCATTGTACTGGTGCCATTATCAGTGCTACCAACTTGGTATGCATCCTTTTCTGGAACAGATGAGCTACTCTCTGCCTGCTCTGTGCTGCTTGTTTCAACCTCATATTCCTGGTTTCTTTCTTTTCCTTGTAGTCCTTGAGTTGAATCTGCAGGTGTGCCATCTATTAAGGATAATTTTTCAAAGCAGTGAGATATCATGTAATTGGCATTAACATGATCGCAATTTAATCGAAATGAAAACAAACCTTTACCATTTCTGCAATATTTTTACATTGCACATTTATATAACACTGTGCTAACTTTTATTCTTTGAAACAGGCATTCATTCTTTCATAAAAACTACTATAACCATAGTACTGATCTGCATTCAGAAAAAAATGGAGCTAAAAGATATTAACTGTTGCTTGTACTATTATCAACTATTTCATTTTCCTGCTAAGTCTTGTTTATATTCTTGTTTATGTGCTATGGAAATAGAATTGCTTTCCTCTACACAGAATAATTTTTAATCACCTGACAGTTCTGTTTCTCCACTGGTTTCAACTATAGCATGAGATGACCCACCCTCAGTTAAAGCACCATTACTACTGGTGCTTGTCTCTGGCTGACTGGAACCCACAGAAGGCTCACATGAATCTTCAAAAGACATTGAAATTCATGAACAATCAATTTCATGCCCAAAAAAATTGTATTGCCTCTTTGAGACAGCATGCATTATCAATACTATTTCTCAGCAAGTAACTTACTTTTAATGAAAGGAGAAATCAATCTAACTCGCACAACACAAGATCTTTCATCTTAGAACTCACTCACTACAAATACAGCTACTGTACTTGGAATTAAACTGTCAAACACAAGACAGCACTTGAGCCGAGTGGCCCATCCAGTTCAAAATCTTCCAGGTTTCCTTGACATAAAGAGACCATTGAAGGGTCACCCCCTCAGCAAGTTATCAGGCTTCTGTGAAAACTTGCAGGTAGCCATTTATATTTCCAAATGGAGAGAGGCACTGTGAGAGTACAGTGTTTTGTCCAAGGACACAACACATTGACCCAGGCAGGTATTGAATCCAGGCCTCTCTACCCAGAGTGCAGCACACAAACCATTGGGCAAAAGCTTCTCACAGGGTTCTCCTTTTCAGCCACTGACCAACAATATTTGCTGCCCGTGAACCACACTGTTGCCAACAATTATCAATTAGCAAATAATCTTTGCTATCAAGAACATTTTATGTAACAAATAAATTCAAAGTACACAGCCAAATGACACACATGAAAAAGAAAAGCAAATAAAGCTTCTTTCTCCTTAAAAGTTTGCCAAGTGTTCATTGACTTGTGTTGTTGAAGGCAGAAGTTGAAAATAGCAAGTATGCCCAGCAAAGCAGGTGGGAATTTTTTTGTGTGCCATGGCCATGATGACTATCAAGTATCACTGGGCACAAAGAAGATGCTGATGATGATAATGACCCCCATTTAGCCCATAGAAAGTTGCAACATAGGCACTACAAATGGCTGCTGTGGCCAATTGGTCTCAACCTGTGTAACTTTTGTCACTGCCAACTAACTTCAATTGAAAAGGAAAACCCTGGTCTTGTACACACTGTTAAACAAATACAGGGAAAAATGAAAAATGCAGAAGAAAACAGACATTAATATATATTAAAATTGTTCTCACAGAATTGAATGGGAGGAGAAGTGTCAAGATGTAGCCCCAACTGAGACTTTATCAAATATTCATTTGTTTGGTGACTCTGAATAGATTTTTAACATCTGATTCAAATTAATTCACCTGGTTTATGATCAGTCGATGTCTGCAGTTTAGCATTTGATGAGCTGGTAGGAAGTTGAACAATGTTTTCAACCTGGCTTGCCTTGCTAGGGTCATCTACCACTAGAATGCAAGTGACAACCAGTTTTTATGATATAAAACACCAATAAAATACCAAGTGAGCTTTCATGAGAAAAAATTATGACATATTCTCTTCGCATGTGAAAAGATCACTGTCGCTATGGTTACAAATAATTGCACCTTTTGAAATGATTTAGTATTTCATTGTTGTTTATATAATAAATACAATATCACATCACAGCTTGGAGATACAAAATTTCTCTTTTCATGTGGAAAAATATTTCACTCTTTTTCTTCCCAAAAAAAGATATTTCACATAAGCCCTTCACTCACTGACTCATGAATTATTCCTCAACACAGAGAGAAATTTCATATCTCTACATGGCCAAGTAATATCCTCTATATCTCATCCTTAACTAAATGTATGTTAGACTAGATGCAGCACATGAAATTCCAGATATGTGGCTACATCAGATGCCAAATACTATGTGCAATGTTCAGAATGATTCTGGTTTTCACTGTGGTATGTGCATATTTGATTTCAACTTAAACATAGCCTTTTGATTAAGATGACTTTAAATTGAATGTGTTTGATTCTATGTCCTGGTACAACTCACCAGGTTGCTGCAAGTTTTCTTGTACACCTTCTGGCCCAGCATCTACCCCTGGAGGCAACAATTCATCCTCTTTTCCAGTATCCATTGGTGACATTTCTTCCCCAGGGGGAGCAGGCTCAGGCTCAGAGTCAGATTCAGACTCACTTTCGCTCTCATCATCATCCATGGCATCATAATAATAAGGTTCACGATGGCGTCTCTTCCGTTTCTTTTTTGGCTCATCTTCCTATGGGCAAAAATTCAAACATTTCCCTTACTTGTCAATTTAACAAAGCTGTTGTGGAAAGAATCGACACATTTCCTATGCTATCTTGAGATAAGAGATATCAGCTAATAGTCAGCTGAGTGAACAAAAAAGTTGAACACCTGGAATGTAAAAGTTCTTCATAATGACCATCAATGAGATGAAGATGTTTTACTATTTTGTAGACGAAATAATGTCAAATGGAATTAATTGTTAAAAATATATTCTGACTAAGTCCATCCAGCATCATCAATCCAGCCATTCACAATACACCTCTTAAAGAAGAGGAAAACAACAGACTTTGCACAGTACTCACTTGATGTGTAGGCACATGCAAACAGTGGAAGTTGACAACCTTATTTCTATTTGTTATAAATCATTTGGCGGATCTGCCTGAGTATAGGTGGATACATGGCTAAACTTTGCGTAATGAACATGGAGCCATATTTTCCAAGTTAGGAACCACTGTACTCTACTTTTGTTCACCTATATTCATAAAATTGCATGAATATGGCTGCTATTACTCACTACAATCATACATCAAGTCACTTTTGGTCCAACAATAAGGAATAAGTGCTAAGTTTGTTTCCAAATTGGTTTTGCAATAGATCCAGTTGTAATAAATTTGATTCCTTACTTGTTTCAAATTAAGGAAAAATAACAATACAATTTCAGAACCCCGAATCTTCTTGATCTTGTCAATTCCTTTCTACATCTCTGTTATTTTTAGCTACCTAATGTTATATCCTTTCAGTGTCTTTCATCAAATTCACGTTATAAGCAAGCTTGTGCCAAAATTCATAAATTTAGGGGTAACTTAACCAAATTTGACATGTAACAATTATAATGATGACTATGGCTGTTCTCCTCATGTATCTTCCTAAGATATGCTCTAATCAAGTGGTAAGAAATAGTTAGGGGTTGTACCATACACAACAGTTGGCCTGGTGTTTTAAGTCTTCACTTTAACAAAGAATGCTACTAGTAACTGTGCCTGTGTGGGGTGAAGAGGTAAATTCAAAGATACCCAATGAAAGTGTTGGTCAGCCACGCAACTCAGAAAATATATTATGAAAGAGTGATGAGGTGGGTAACTGAGCCAAGTCTGTTTGAATCAATTGGTCCCTAGGTACAGTGCTGGGAAATTACTTTTTCTCTTAATTAACATGTACAGTCTTGTTAATGTACACAGTATTTTGTGGTCTTTCTAGTACTGTAGAGCAAAATGGGGAGTTGAGACACAAACTCAACACTGTGACTTGCTTCAGTTGTTTACAATCTGATGTGAAAGAAGAACTGTGGGAACAATTTCAACATTTGCGTTCATAAAAAAATGCTTTCTGAGTTATATCATTCCAAGGCAGAAAACTGATAGAGGTTTGTTATAAGATGTAAGCAGGAAAAAACCCCTATATGGGTACAATCATCAAGGTACAGTGAAACTAACATTGACCGACTGTGAGTCAAAACATGACATAAGAAGACAAAGAAAGATTTGGATCACAGCTTCTACATTGTACATTTGAATAATTTTCTAAAATGTGTAGTGCTGTGTGCAGCTGCCCACTTTTGAAGTTCCATTGAACTGGTTCATCAGTGAGAGCTTAAAGTTATAACAATAAACACACAAAATAAAAATCTAACAGGGACTAGTGGAAGGAGCAAATGAAGGAGTGACATTCAAAGTCCTGCCAAACTCAGAAAATTGTCATTTCCTGAGTAAAAAAAAAGGAAATTCCTGAGTTGTAAACACAGGAGGTCTGATGTGAAATTTCCTCTGTTTCAGTTGTACACATATTTTCTGCAACAACATATTACCAAATTATCATTATCAAATACAGTAATTGTTACCTTCATCATTATCATCACCACTATCATCATTGTCATGTATCAATCATAGCAAGGAAATTTTTGACAGCAAGGAGCCTTTGAATTCTAGGATTTGTTATCCAATTCTTTGTTTTGATAATTGCTGACAAACTTCAGTTATTTGAGCCTTTCTTTAGAGCCTTCTCACTCTTCCTCCTCCTTTCCTTCATATAATCTCTTAAGGGGTTATTTAGTAAGATTCTAAAATCATGTTTGAGTTCAGCTAAGTTGCACAATGTTCACAGACAGTATACCAAACTCAATTCACCTTTTTAGAGCCTTTCTGTTGTGCAGGTGGATCTTTATCTGGTTGGGATGTCTGTGGCAATTCTTGCTGTTGTCCCTGTGGATATTGCTTTGAATATTGTTCTTGCTGTTGTTGAGGATCATAATTGCTATAATACTAAAAGATTCCAGATATGTAACTATTTCAGTAGGATGGCCTACTCCCTGTGGTTCAGTTTATCCAATTTCATCACGTTTGGTTTCAAAACCATTAAAAACAGTACCACACCCAAAACAAAGGGGAAATACAGAAACAAAATTTAAATAAAAACCCCATGATGATAATTGGAGTAACTACCAAGTGACTGTAAGTGCCTTAAACAAACTTATGACATGGCCTGTAAATTAATCATTTCGAAGTATTTGTTCCTTTCCATCACAAAATGTCTTCCTGAGCCAAATCAGTTGGCAAGTCCTCCAAAAAATTAAACATCTTATTTGATGAGCCTAAAGCATCAACTTATAATTAAACTAATGTTTGTATCCCATAAAATGATGTGGTTTTTTTGGTTTTAAGCCAACCAATTAGGGTACCATAGTTGCATTGTAATGAATAATGAGTGAGAGTAAATAAAAGACACACCACAGCATGTCAGGATTTCTCTCCTTTGGCCTGAGCACCAAACAATAGCACATACACAAGATTTAGAATTCACTCATCTCAAGAGGGAGTGGGACAAAGGAAACATTTGATTCCTGAGAGAAATTGAGTGAATTGTCTTCCATTCTTTACTCACAAGAAACTCATGTCGCGTGTCTACATTATTAGTTCTTGAAGCTAGCAATTATCAATTATGGCAAAATGGTCATGGCCCATCACTTCCAATCATGTTCTATTGAAACAATGTAATAAACAGTACATGCTTTTTTCTTTTGTGTCCAATGCCTATAAAAAATCATCTAGACAGAGTTCAAAATGTATCCTTTAATGCCCCTGATAGATACTTAGCTGTACAGTGTACCTGTTGCTGATAATAGAGCTGTTGCTGATGGTAGTACTGCTGAGCCTGATGCTGAAGCTGTTGTTGCTCCAGAGTGGGATTACTAATGGACATAACCTTCACATCCCCATTCTCCTTTTTGGTTGCAGCAGCTTTTGCTGATGCTGGTGGAGGGGCAGATGGAAGAGGAACAGATGATGGTGAGACAGGGCCAGTTTCTGGATCTGATGGCAAAAAAAGAGAAAATTATTTGCAGAATTGATTTACAGTCCAGTCTACGGCTTTGTAATGATGATTTGTAACACCAGGCGAAAACATTGATGCTTATATATTTCTAATAAATAAACTAAATGTAAGAAAACTCCAGGGTCACTATTCTTGAGGAAGACACCATGAAGTATTGACACCACAACTCTACTCAAACTTTACTTAACAACTAATAACCATGACTGAAGTTGAAACAGGCTAATTTCAAATGGAAACCTTGCCCTATTGACTGTGAGATATTTCTGCCAAGAAGCTTTTTCAAAAAGAGATATTGTTTTGTTTCCAGAATTAAAATTGTAGGGCATTGTTTTCATATTTCTTTAAAGCATTTCTTGTTGCTGTTGTGAACATGTTTACCATGACAATGTACTTTACTTATTGTTTTAAATTACTAAATGACCCATTGTCCAAATTTGGACATTGGGTCATTTAACCACCCCCTCCCTCTGAAAGCCCTGGGCCTTTGAACTTTTGAGGATTGGTTTGTTTAAATCATTGCCCCCTAGGGCAAAAATTGCGCTCAAATGCCCCACCTAAATTTTTTTGGAAGAGACAAAATCAGCAACCTTTACTTTCTGCACATTTACCACACTTTGAAGACTTAACCTTGTAGACCTTTTCTTCAGAGTCATTAGTTTGTGAGAGTGAACTGTTCACCTTAATCACCTCCATATGTAAAGAAACAACACTTGAATTGTGTTGGAAAGACTTTATACTTAAGGTTCAAATCTCCCAACCCAGCCAGGCATGGCTCAAATTTCCCATCCCTTGGGCACAGACGATGATCAAATGCCTGTGGGTTGCCCAGGGAGGGAGGATATTGCCAATTAAGAGGAGGATATTGATTATATATATGATTGGAACTTGATTTCCAAAGGATGAAGTACCATATTTTCTCAGTTATAAGGCGCACTCAGTTATAAGACACACACTGATTTTTTAAACTCATTTCTTTCAAATTGTTAAACTGAAAATTTTGCCCAAACACCCGGTTATAGGATGCAGCCTCAACTTTGGGCTTTTTCATTATCTTCACTTTCAAAACAATAGTGTTTTCAAAGTTCCTAATTACAGTCAGGTCACCTTTTTTTAACAAAAGGCAAAAAAGTCACACATTTGCATGAACAAAGCAAAAAAAAATCCCACCTGTAAAAGAGATATAGATACCGTGAATACAGTCTGCCTTCTTAGGAAACAGTGTTACTTTCTAAAGCTATGAATACTAATTGATCCAGCATAATAAGCATGTCTCAGCTGGTTGAACTCCTAGTTGTAAAACTTCATTCATGGCAATTCAGCAAGCATTGCTGAGTTCAAAACAAAAATCATGCCTAGTATGCAGCATCATTCTTACAATTGGAACTTTAAAATAGTAGCAAAAGCAGAGGCAGTGAAAAACAATTGGGAATTGCACGCCAGTACAAAATATCAGAGTCAATGGTTCGCAAACGTACCTGCAGCAGTATCAATAGAATGGTTCTTTTCAGAACCACCAAGTCGAGTAAAGTCAATAATCAATATTCCCAGCCTTCTATCTATTTCTCTTGTTTTATACCAGGTTAAAATTACAAAATAGGACATTCTTGAATTTTGTTGCATGAAAATACTTGGCTATAAGACGCACCCCGAATCTGAGACAATTCAAGGTGTTAAGGTAAAATTTCTTTGAAAAAATGCTCCGCCTTATAACCGAAAAAATATGGTAACTAGGAGCACTCTTCATGCATAGGATGCTACTCAATTCCAGGTACCTGTCCACTTCTTCAGGTGTCCTTAACAGTATGCTAATACCCACTAAGCTATAATGTCACACAGAGAGGCACTGTAGGAGTGTAGTCTTTTTCCCAAGAACACAAAATAAAAATTTGGCCTGCAGTGTTTTCAATAGGACTTGGCACCTGCCTGGGCTTCATCTGATATTCTGTTACAGATTCCCAGGTATACTTTGCCCTGTTTGAGTAAAATTTTCAGAACTGAAAAATAATAAACATAGAAGATACCTTTTTTGATTTCTTTCATATTTTTAAGGGTTTCTTCTTTTTTATCATCAGTTGCCATATCATCAGTTTGTGGAGACATAAGAGGATTTGATGATGATCGTCTTCTTTCAGGGGGAGGGGTGGGTGGACAGTCCAACACAACCAGATCACTATCCAAGCCTCCTTCTAACTTGATAACCACTTTGAACAACAAGAATAAGTATCAATGCATTGTTTTAACAGGTAAAAAATACCTTTCTAGGAAAAAGAAATCAATAATTATCTTCAAAGATTGTAACATACTCAGTCAACAGTCCTTTTAGATATAAGATAATTCTTTAAAAATCTTAAATGCAAGAAACTGCAAAAATTATTACACATTCAACGTGTGCTCTTAAGGGAAACAGTGAGTTTTCTTTTCACAAGACATCATTTCTAGGGGTTTGTTGTGCCATCTCAAGACTAAATACTACAGCAACTGAGTAAAGGATTCAAAATGAGAAGCATTGAATGCAAATACAATTTCAGAACTAAAATTTACAAGTTAACAAAAACAAAATGTAACTTATTGTTTAGTCAACAAAACTGTCAAATTATTCATAAGTATAATGGCTGAAGACAACTGATAAATTGAATTATATTTTAACTTGTTATCAGGTTCACCACACATGTTTTAAATATACTAGTAGTATCTGTGTGAAAGAATGTTCATTTGGTATTTGTTCATATTTATTGGATTACTGTCCGTGACATTTTCCTAAGACATAATGTAGGACTTTACCTGCATCAAGAAGTTTAATGATGGCTTCAGAGTTATCAATATCCAGTGATATATCATCGGCCCTTCCACTTTTAAGTAAGTTCAGAAATACAGAGAGGCGACGCTGCATTGATTTTTTATATTCCTTTTGCTTAAGGGCCATTTCTTTAGGATGGTATTTCATCCTAAACCTTAAATCAGTAGTAAAACAAAAGTTATATTAAGGAGGATAGAGATATTGAAGAAATTTGGGTAAAATACAAAAGGTGTGTGTGCCCCCTTACACTTACTCAGCCTTTCCTGTCCTCCCTTGAATCCAATGTCAGTGACATTTTGACTTTTGACTTCCAATAAGCCGACATTGCTATTTTTTATAGCAACTTTACAAAAACGAATGAGGTCAGATTATACATAATTGAACCTCGTCAAATGATCGAAGGGGGTTTAAACGTGGCTTCTTGATCACTGAAAGCTGCTATGAATCTTAATTCATTAACTGCAGTGTGCAGCTTTTCTAGGCTTTAAGCCTCATGCAATAAAGACCGAAGTTGATTAGGACATGAAGCACTAAGATCCCAATATGGCTTTGTTTCACATGCATGTCTCACTGAACAAGAATACAGCTTGCTGTGAAAGGAAAGTGTTGTTATGGTTAGAGATAATGAAAACAAATAAATAAATTTGATACATTGAATAAAATTTATAAAAAAAAATGTAGTAACATTCATATAAAAACCACCACATACATTCAAATAATTGTATCATCAGAAGGCAAAACAAAAAGTGTACACTACTCACACTCAGTCAGGGATTTCATTTTTACTACATACCATTCTTCCTCTTTGTGTTGCAAAAAGAAATCGTTAATTTGAGTTTTTCTGAACTCCATTTTATATTCTTGATATTTTCTAAAAGCTTCTTCATCACCAATATTGTCATCTTGAGCATTAAGGAACTGTTTAAAAGTCATCATGGCTGGGCCAGGACTTGCTTGAGGGTGTGGCTGTTGTTCAACTTCTACCCTAATATGCAATTTCAAAAAGATCACACCTGTAATCATTCAGAACCTTATAAGCCTCTTAGAAATAGGTGAAGTCTGTTGATTTTCACTTGAACAATAGCCTGATGCCTGTTAGAGCCTTAACCGCTTAAAATAACTTGACTCAACCTTCTCAATCAGGCAAGAGGTTTTTGCTTTTGTCAGGCAAGACTTGAACTCAATAAAAGTTTATTGGAGTCACCCACCAGCTTCTAATGACAACTCAGTGACACCAGAGTCTTTTCAAGAATTTTGATAGTCAAAGGTTCAAAAGGATCATTCTCAACATAAATTTAACAAATTATTTTTTTAATGTTTTGTCAGTTGCCTCCTTGCTTCAGACTGCACTAGGAATGATAGATAAATACCAAAGCTCACTTGCCACACACCACCACCAAATGTGGCATTTGTTTCAAAAACAATTCTGTTTCAATTCAGGTTTTCAAGAAAAACATGAAAGGAAAATGTGATGGATGATGTAGCAGGGGGGCCCTCAAGCTAACGAGAGATGATTAGTATATTGTGTCTTAGATGATTTTAGTTTGCACCTTTGTTGTCTAGCATCCTGCTGCTGTGATGCTTGTAGCTGTTGAACATCTGGGTGTGACCATGTGTTATGGGTTGGAACACCACTGTAAGGTACATTGTAGTCTCCTGCCCCATGATACGGCTCATCCCTGAAAGCAACACAAATGAATTTATCAGCACTGTGATTAATGAGCATTTCTAAAGGACTGAAAATGTTTCCTTTCTTCTGTTTCTGAAGACAAATATTTTATACTTACACAACATTGTTAATTTTAGAGTTTTGAAAGTGAATCATTTCAAATTTTATACAATGAACACACGAGAAACCTTGTACATCTAAATTTTAAGGATTTGAGGTTTCTACCACGATCACATTATTTAATACCCTAGATGGATGACTTTGTTTGGACAGGAAATGTAGAGAAATAGGGTAAATTGACACCACTGTAACCAGTTCAATTAAAAGTTAAAGTTGTGATTCATGGAATTATTTCAAGCCTTAAGCCTTCAAGTTATTTGACAATAGACCTTATCACAGCTTTTAACACCATCTTAATGGGTAGGGAAATATAAAATGTTCACATCAATGTCCAGCTTTGAATGACTTTACAATAATCAAAATAATTTTATCAACTACAAAATTTACTCATTAGCCTCATGATTTCACACCATGGACTTGAGGGATATGCCTTCCCTAGAAATTTCCCAGTTTTGCTTTTTCACACCAACATGGTTGCCACAGTCATGGGTTCTTTAAATTCCCTGGCTTTTCCCTAACCAACCAAATACACAACTTCACAAATGAGTCTCTATGACTACCTCCACCTCCCCTACCTCCTTTCAGCAAGTCACTGTGTACATAAATTGATAACTGCTGAAGTTCTCTTGGAAAAAGAATTGATTTTCTTCAAAACCTAACATCGGTTTAGTGTTCAATGTTACTACACAATATTCCCCAATTCAACGTTATTTGTGTCTGTAAACTGTACCAAAGATGCAGTGTGAGAAAAAATAAAAACATCCCGTGGAAGGAAAAGAAAATTTGTGTTATCATTCACAAACCAACTTGAAGTGGAGAACAATGGTACAGCATTTGCTGGTCAGAATCTGTAACCTGTACTGTACAATGAACATGAGTAACTTCAACATCACAAAGAGGAAACTGTTTGCATATTTCAGAGGGCTTTGACAAGATTAGATAAACAACTTCATATTTACTTTAAATTTCTCATTTCCCTGACTTATTTCAAATATGTAACTTTTCTCTGACTCAAAGTGAAATTCCCTGACCATGGAGAAACTTTCCCCCGACCTGTGGCAACCATGTTCATTCGTTTTCAGCTTTTCTCGTACTCACACACATTAAAATTTGCTCACAACTATCTGGAAAAGAAATGAATATGCAAGTCCACCGAGATGAGCTTGGTGGAGATAATTCACACGAAGTTTGCCAGTCGGATCCTTCAGCTGGCATTTGAATTTATTTAATTTCTGAAGCTTCAACGCTTAAATGACATCATTTAACGTTGGAGCTCCTCAAAAACATTGCGATTTCAAATGAATAACAAAGATGGCGACAAAGACGGTATCGGTGTGGTCTTTTTCTAAGTGATATTGGTAATTTTAAGGATCAAAGACATGTTTTTATTAAATTACCAATCTCTTCTAACTCTTTTTATGGGAGGACTCATTTCTTGGTGTCTCCCAGAGCTATCTCTTCTTCCTCGATCAAATTCTCTATACTCTCCTCGCCGTCTACTTTCCCAAGATGGTTCACGGCGTCTGTCGGACCACTCATCTCGACGTGAAGATCTCTCTTCACGGTCGCGTCTTCGATCGTTATAATCACTTCTTTCTCTACGAAATTTATCTCGAGCCCGTCTCCTGTCGTGTTCGTCGTCACTGTCCCCCATAATGGCTCCCCTTCAGTAAAATGTTGAGAGAAGGAATTCTTTACCTGCAACAAAGAAGAATAAAGACTGCGAGCATGTGGAGACCTTAGAGGGTTCAACAACCAGAATGCTTTTCGAGTTTGGTAGGCCCAGTCTTTAACTCCATCTCCGAAATCAGTACTATGGCTTCCTCTGCACGTGTCGTTTGTTGGCAAAACCGTGAGGAATGGCTCTATGTTTACAGAACTTTATACAATTTCGACGATCCAGAGGGTCAGAAAAGAGGAATAGATCGCGTGGCTGCCTGGAAAAGCCGCAGTATGGGTAAACTTCCCCTTGCTATCGAATGCACAGTAAATCTCATTTCAGCTCATTTGATATCCACACGCAACACTCATGATCAAGGCCGGTTGACTCTTGCGATGGCGATAGTACGCTTCGTAAATGGAATGGTTGATTTGGATCAGAAAGGAAAGTTTGCCCGCTCAGTGCAAACAATTGCAGAGGAAATAGGTTTACCTAAATGGCTGGTTGATATACGGCACGAGTCTGCACATCAAAATTTGCCTTCCTTAGAAACTCTCCGTTGTGGCGTACGAGCAAGCTTGTCATGGTTGCAGTATGAATACTGGGAAGCACAGCTTAAAATTCACGATGGGAACATAAAAAGATTAATAGAGCTACTCGAAAAGTACAGGGAACTAACCTTAAGACCCAGTGTCAAGAGTAAAAAGAAGGCGAAGAGCAAGACTGATAACAAACTAACACAACTGTCAAACTCCATAGCTGACACGGTATCTAAGAGCAATCTTTGGTAAGAAGCGTAATTTGAAAACAAGAGATGGCTGAAAAGCCAGATTTTGTTTGTCTTCTTTTTAACTTTATGTTATGTTGTTAATCACCAGCAGAGTGGGTTTTGTGAGAAATGATTTACTCCCCACCTCCCCACCCAACAAAGTAGAAGTTCCCTATCAATGGCAGGGCCCCTTTCTGAACATCAATCTGATCTTCTTTTGTTTTTGCAAATGTTCTGAAAACAGATCTGGTCAGCAACCCAAAAAATTCCATTTTCCACTTAAAATAATCAAACTAACCTAAACTGGGTATATTTCTTGCCTTCTTCAGGATATACCATAATTCCTTGAACAAACCCATACCTTCTAATGAGCACCTTTGCCTGAATAAATACCTACCCCCCCAGGCTATAATGGCAAACAGGTGCCCCTCTTGAATAGGCAACCTACCCTCTTCCCTCACTTTCTTAGATGGTAGGAATACAAGAAAAATGTGTTTCTATTGCCACTTCATTTACAACTTTTTAAGCCTACAGTGCAGTCTGTACAGAAGAATAATTTGTTTCCATTCCAGTTATCACTATCTCCATGTGCTTGCAGAGTTTCTTTATGTGCCTCATTTCTTCTTTTCATTTTGCCTCTATTGCAGGGCTAATTTAATGATAATTCCATTTCTGTTGCTCCTGTGGCTGATTTTTGTTCTTTTTATTGTTCTCATCAAGTTCTTCTCTATAAACAAAGCTGTAATATGTGTTTCACCTATCAGTCATTCAAATTGCCAAAGTATGTACAACAACACTGTAGTGCCACCTGGATTATTCTTGAGACAGGGATAAAGTAACTTGCCAACTTTCATTTTTCATTCCAAGAGAAAATTCCCTCCTTGACAGCTATGTTAACCTTATACTTGCATTCTCTGATACTTGCATCTTTATGGAAAGTAAATCATTTCAGGTTTAACAATTTTTTTTTCCAGGTCTCTTTTGCCAAGTCTTCTGTTCCAGAAGGGCATGTTAGTCCCTTCTTGTGAGCACATAAGTTTATCAAGTATCAACCAATCAACTAAAGATGGCCTCTTTGCAGATTTAAAGACCTCGGAAGTCATAGGAGAGATATTTAAGATTTGGAAACCATTGATAGAAGCACTTGATAAATTGTCTCCAGAATTTTTAATGTCTACAATACATTATCTCCTTGTGGGAGACCAGTCTGCCATCACAGATAAAGAGAAAGACCTATCTCTTTATTATGCTGAATGGGTAAAACATTTCCTACTGTTGATGTCAAAAGAAAAGTGTTGTGAGGTTCCCTTGATGAACATTCTAAAAATTGCCCTGGAAAATCCAACACGGTCTTATTTGACAATTATTTCCAAAATATTGGAAAAAATGCACTTGATTGATTCTAGCTTGAAACATAAAGTACTGCATCTTGTTGAAGTTTTTCTTGAGCAACCCCTTTCAGAATGTTGTTGTGTTAATGATATGGAAGAATTTCAAGAATCAAATCTGGAAGAGTGGATGGCAAGGAGAAGCAAAATCTGCACTAAAACTGCACTTCAACAAGATGAGGGAGCTCCTCAATGGCAACAAGGCAGTCAGCAGGATTCAACTTTGTGGCACTTCATTCCATTTGGAGAAGTTCTTGGAGCTGATTTTGAGTTAGAGTTATCAGTGTGACTTTGATAGTTTCATTCATGACACTTTTCGTACAGGATTTGCTGTAAGGAGGGGCATGGCAAGTTTGATGAATTTTTGTTCTTAAGACTTATTTTCGATTCTAAACTTGATAATAAAAAAAAACCAAACTGTCTCTAATGAATGACAAAAATGATGTAAACTTGGAAGTGACTGAAGAAGAATGTTTACAATTTAATATTATTTTGTCCTGGTCTCCTTGTAATCACATGCATGTCAGAATTTCTCCTGCTCATAAATTCTTTTGTCCATATTTATTGATTTCACTTTTTAAAATTCATTCATTACCTTTCGAGATTGTCATGTGTGCACACTTGTCCTTTTCTCTTTCAACCTTCCTTGAAACAGCTGTATATTGGAAGAATTTGACATTTAATGCCTTCATATCTAGAGGCATTCCTGTAGAAATCAAAACCATTAAGAACTTGAGAAAGATGTTTTTGTCTTCTCATGAGCATGGGACAAAGAAAAAAAATCCTGAGTCCCCATGAGGAATTGAACCTCAGACCTTTGGACTTCTGAAGTTAACTGTACATAATCAGCACTAAGTTCAGGGCTTATTTTCAATCAACACCAGAATGTTCTATTCACAATAATATCTAGAATCATGCCTCTCTTGAACCCCAAGTCCAAATTCCAGGTCTCCAAAATCTTCTTGGAAGCCCTTGAGATGGCTCATACTGGGGGCCACAGTAGCTACAATAGTGCACCTAGAAAGAAGAAGAAGAGTCCCAGAGGAGTCCCTCCCCTTCTAGGCAGTCATACTAAAAATGCTGACTGTAAACCCCATGGACTCTGCAGAGCACACTTTGTTTGCTGGTCAATTTTGACTGTAACAGCTTGGGAGACACTGATAAATTCATTTCTGACCCATCATGCAATTGACATTGATAGGTATTCAATTTCACCAGAATTATGCCCTTTTTTTTTAGCCTGAGGAAAAAATTCTGTTTTCTTGCTTGTAAAATTTTAAGTCTTGGTGGACATTAAATGCAAGTCAAAAAGCTTCTCTGTGAACTGGTTTTAGACTGGATGATAAACAGTAAGAAACAACAAATGAGTGCCTTTTTTATTTCTGCTTCCACTTCCTGCCCTCAGATAGATCCTGCTTCCCCCCTCTCCCACCCCCAGTTCTCCCAGTCTCCCACCCCCTTCCACCCAAGAGTACTGATTAAACACTATCCAAAGACATTTTCAGGGACCCTAACAAGAAATTATATTCCTACAAGTTATTTGTTTGTTTTTCAGATGGTATGAAGAATGCCATGATCTCCCAGAATGAGATGACTGGTCATCTGATGACATTTCTTTCTTGGGCCAAACAAATGGATATAACGTAAATAAAGAGGATCATGAGGTGTTGAGTGGCTTTTCTGACAAGTTAACATTTGCTTTTTTTCCTGACCCCCACTTAGTCTTTTATCTTCTGCTGCCACTCAACTAAGGCATAATACTCAGTTTTCCAAATTCAGTATGGCAGTCTGCGCGGTCTGCACAGGCTGCATGGTCTGCACAGTCTGGGTTTTATCACGACCGCCTTCTGGGGTTATACCGAAATCCCAACTGCTGGAGGTACGCCCGAGGAGCACTAGTGACGAGTTTCTGAGTCGGGTGATTATCGGAAATTGTCAGCTATTCCAATATGGCGGACTATTGCGACAACACCAATATTGCGATTTATATATTATTACATACTTACCATGTGAGAATACATTACCGAGGTTAAATCAAGGAAATTTCGCTAAATTTTGTATGGCTGTTTCCTTCACCATTATTGACGTCGAATTTCTTGTTCAGCAGAGTTTTAGCTTAACACCATAGCCGTAATGACCTACGCTTGCAAAGGTAAACAAAACTTAGGAATAGTAAGGTATTCTTCACATTTGAAGTCTATAACAATGTTCATGTCTGGTTCAGTCACGCCGCTTGACTGTTGGTAAATCGCAATTAATAGCGTCACACCGGAATTGTCCACCATACTGGAATAGCCGACAATTTTCCGATTATCACCCGACTCAGAAACTCGTCACTAGTGCTCCTCGGGCGTTCTTCAAGCCGGTGTTCTGGATTGCGTTGAAAGCTTGGTTACCAAGGTGTTGGTGGCCAAATGTGGTTATTATTAGGAACTATTCGACCTTTCTTCTGAAACTGGAAGTTCCATGAACAGTGAAGAAGGCAGACTGTACGTGGATATGAGACAACTTGGTTCAAATTTCCTTATTTTCTAACAATGGGGTTACCTGAAATATAACCTCGTGTTATGAGATACCTACAGAAGGCCAAGAGGGAGAAATTGGAGGAAGAGGGTTTGATGAACACTGCATCAGATCCTTTAGTTGAAGAAAGAATTTCCACTAGATAACAAGGAGCAGTTTCTTGTGTATTCTTGAGTTACTGTTTTCCTTCAAAAGAAATGTATTCGTTGTCTAGTGTGATTACCGATGTTGAGTTTACGCCAGCTATGGTCGGTTTGAAAGGAAAAATTCCCAAAGAGGAGTGTCTGCTAGATGAAGCCCAGCCTGCGCAAAGTTTGAAAAAAGACACCGAGGTTTCACCCATGGAAATCATTGACGGGCAACCCACGTCTGCTGTAGAAAGCCAATCAGCTGAGGCGAATTCTGCCATCAATATTGAAACAGAAATTACTCGTGAGAATGATTTTATTGTGTTTACATTGTCACTTGGTGCAACACCAGATCAGTTGTCTGCTGTAGATGATTCATTGAATAAAGTTTGTTCTTCTAGAGCCAACAGTGAGAATAGAGCTGTGTCTGAGAAAGATTTTGATAAAGTGACATGGTCATCTACTGATGATATAAAATTGCAACAAGGTTTGGTGGAGAATGAGTCTTGTCTTGGTGAATGGAAAAATTCTGATTCTATAGACAAGTCGTCAGGGGATGTGCTGGTGAAGGAGGAAGAGAAAATACCATCTGAGGTAATGGCTTCTGTTGCAGAAGATTTTTCACTTGATGTACAAGGTCCTTGTATTAGTTATTCACCCAGAGAATATTCCAATGATTTGAGATTGTCCTTGTCATCTTCATTGATGAAAGAAGTGTCTAACAGTGATGATGTGTTGGCCTTTGCTGCAAGTGGAAAACAGTATTTTCCTGATATTTATCAAGTAACTGACAATATTGATATACAAGTTTTGAGAAGAATAGTGTCCACGCTGAATGAGACATCAATAGAAAGACACTGTAGTCTTCTGGGAGCTGACAAGAAAACTGGAGATACACCAACCACTAATTCTAAATTGTTAATGGTAGGAAGCAGTAATGAGGATATTGAGGAAGATATATCAAATAGATTGTCTGCTAACAAAGAAGATGAAACAAATCAGGAGTCTACGTCAAATGCTGAAGATCCTGATTTGAGCCAGACTGAAGACTGTGGCTGTTTGGAAGAAACAGCTAGCATTTCTAAGTCACCATTACTAGACAAGGAAGTTACAGAAACACTATGTGAAGATACTATAAGTGTCTTGGTGACTGCGCAGAAAGATGCCATTCTTGAAAGGAAGGAGGAGACACCATCTTGCTGCAGAAATCTTGATCAACCCAATAACACCCAAATCACTGAAGTCAAGGATGACTCTTATGAAACTCCCCTTCACTTGTGTAAGTATGGCTGTACTTTGCATTACTATCCGCAGGTTCTGGCAATCACTGTGGCAAATAATTTGATATTAGAATTACTTCTTAAATATTGTGTAGAACTGACAAGTAACAGAAATTGGGGAATCTGCAAAGGCATAAAATAAATATATACTACATTCATGGTGTGGTAATGAACAGGAAATACTACATTTTGTTGTCAGCAAGTAAATATTTATACAGGGTCAGACATCATAGACAAATCATCTTCTATTCAGGTATTTAATCAAACAAATCAAACTGCATCTGTTATGTTCCTGCCTCAGCTAGTTCACCTCAAACTTCTCATTCTTATCTGTGCTCTGCATCCATTGTTTTGGGAAACACCTGGCTGTGAAAGTTACACTGAGGTGTGCATTGACAAAGCTTAGGGAATTGAATTCCAATTGGATATTTTCATTCTCCTTTGCAACTTGAAAAGTTTTCTCTTGGCCTGTGTAACTAGAAAGGTGTACACAGTTGAACTGAGCACCAATGAGATGTTGTTATTTAGATTTCTATTTGCCAAGTCTTTTAATTTATGATTGAGTGTTCTTACATGTATTTCTGTATATTTACTTGACATACATTGAAAATAAGTATTCTTTTTGATTTGTGTAAGTACAAGTTAGTGCAGGCATTTGTGATGAAAGGTGGATAACTAATTGGTTGAATAATTTTGAGCAACATGAAATGAAGTTGTGTTATTCTCTGTTTTCTAATTAATGACTTTTTTATAGAAGGACTTTGTGGAAAAATCTTTCTTATCGTGTTGCTAGTTTGACACTTAAGTGGCGATCTCTGTAAGAGCGGTCTAGGGCATTTTGCATGGGAAAAACGTTTTCCCTCAAACTTTGTGCGATAAACTATCTTTGGTAGCAAGTAAATATAACTACATTAGTTTCTGGAAATACGTTAAATTAAAATTTTTAGCGCTCTCAAAAGTCAAAGCTGCTTTAGGCCCTTTTTTGACCTCTTGCGACATCGAAAATTTCCAAAGTTGAATAGCCTGGTCCTCATATCACACCGTATGCAGCAAAAAATCTTTTGTATTTTTAAACTGTGTAATATGTCAGGTGAATAGAAGGCATTTCAATTTTGATATTCGTTTATTCAGTGGTTCGTCATAATTTATTTAAAAACACTCGTTAGGCAGCTTTCTGAAATTGGTCTAAAGTACTCTTTCTTTCTTGGTTGATATTTCTTAAGTCCAGACCAGACCATTGAAAACTCCGCTTGATTTCTTCTAATAAGATATTTGGCTGCAGAAAAATATAAAAACATCTTGCGATTTAGCAATTTTGCTAGCGTGACAGCCGATTATGCAAATTAGTTCATTGAGCAAACTCCTACCGTTTTATAGAAGTAGCTCAATAAATCTTAGATTTTAAGCATTTTAAGTTGAAAAGATAGTAGGACAGAGCTTTTAGACTACACCGATTGCTACTCTAAACATTTCAAAAGGCCAGAATTTTACAAATTTTACTATCTCGTGACGAAAGACGTCAACAACAATGCATCGAATATCATAATTTGATTAGCGCTCGCTTAACATTTTAATGGCAAACTCTTTTTTAAAAATTTGGCTTCTGCTATTTCATGCATATTTGAGTTCTGACAGGTTATGCTATTTAAACCTGTATGTACATTTCAGAACCAAACTACAGGATTCTATTCAGTGTAACCGGCGATAACAGCACACACTAAAATACACCGTGACCAGTGACTCTGTCATGTAATTCAATTGTGTAATTATCCTGAATTGCTTCTCCTTTTTAAATGAAGCAGCGATGACATTATTTTTGGATCAGAATTCTAGTCGGCAGGAATAAGAGAAATTTTGTCTGCACACCTGTCTTTAAGACAGTTCTATTCTGAACTTTAACATAGATCCAATTCAAGTCTTCAATGCATGCATTGATAGTCTCGCCGATGCTGCACAAAAGACCAGGATTACACATTTGGAATCCCAAGTAGATTGTTGGGAAAAATGCTCCTTTCCTAAAAAGTCTGAGTTTGTTCAAAAAGCTGGGGAAGCGTGCCAGCTGGTGTGCGATGTCATGGCTCTAAGAGATGGTAAAGCGTTATTCCAAGCGGTCGTAGACCATGAAGAGAAGTGCAAGACAGCTATTGATGTTGACCTTCAAACCCTTATGGTCGCCTATCAGAATGCTCCCACAAATTCACTTAGGACTCATATATATATTTATACCGATAGATTATCAGCCAACGAGCTTAAACGTATGCATCAGCCATTTGAAAACCTCTCCGATAGACAAATAAAGAAGGCAAGAGCACAGGCGAAGAGTGAGGTGCCTGTTGAAAAAATCCCGCGTCACAGAATCCGACCTTGACCTCCATATGAACTTGCTAGTTCATCATGTAAGTCCTGTGTCTACGAACATGACTGAAAGTCTTTATGACAAAGTGAAGAGGGAGTGGGTTCATGACTTTCAGTCATTGTCATTAGAGGGTGAAAGTTCGACTGAACTGGTTGCAGTGGCCACAGAACCCTTGACAAGTGCTTCACAGCTTCCCATGGGGTGGGCTCTTCATAAGAGAGGTGCAAGTGTACGGCTTCCGAAAAACGTCAGGCAGTACTTGACACTAAAATTTAATATTGGACGAGACACTGACAGAAGACTAGACCTAGAGCAAGTAGCAAAGGACATGCGAACTGCTTGCACTGTAGATGGAGAGAGAATGTTCGATGGAACAGAGCGGTTATCCAACCTACAGATTCAGGGTTTCTTCTCGAGATTGTGCCTTAAACGGCGATCTAAAATATAACAAGAATCGAATGATACCACAGACGCAGACGACGAAGACGACGACTTGATAGAGGCATTCGCGTCTAATATAGACGAAGGGTGTTTGAGAGAGGCCAGGAACACAGTAATGGATGAGATAAGACTGAAACATCCAATCATATTTGATGTCTATGATGTGTGCTCGTTGGCAAGAGAATGAAGGTTGCCTAGCCCCAAAGTCAAGATACTAAGAGACATCTGCAAACATTTTGAGCTCGCATTAAAAATGCGAGATACAAAGGCAGCACTTCTTGCAAAAATGGAGGAAATGATTTCGGAGTGGAGTTGTTATGCAGTCTAATTATGACGTCCGCCCGTTATGCGAATGCGATATCCTTTTTCACAACAACTCTCTAAAGTTATGAACAGCGACTGCTATGCTGACAGGTGTAACGATAAAATATAATTTGTTCCTTTCAGCCAGAAATCCGAGCAATCGCTCCTTTATTTAGACATGAGAGGTATTCAGGACAATTATACGATAGAATTACGTGACAGAGTCACTGGTCACGGTGTATTTCAGTGTGTGCTGTTATCGCCGGTTACACTAAATAGAATCCTGTAGTTTGGTTCAGAAATGTTCATACAGGTTTGAATAGCGTAAGCTGTCAGAACTCAAATATGTATGAAATAGCAGAAGCCAATTTTTTAAAAAAGAGTTTGCTATTAAAATGTTAAGCGAGCGCTAATCAAATTATGATGTTCGATGCATTGTTGTTGACGTCTTTCCTCACGAGATAGTAAAATTTGTCAGCTGACTTTAGCAGTATGCAAGACCAATTTTTATATGTAAACACAGGATTTGTCTTGTTTCCTTGCAACTTTGCACAGGAATTCCATGGTGCATTATTCACTGGTTCAATTCCTGACCACAACTTTCTTATTATCTTTGCCCTAAACCTTGAATTAAGATAATTGAACTTTTGGAGGGCAGTTTTGTTTACCTGTTTGATAGTAATTGCCAGGTCTAAAGTTTAATTACATCTTTGCCCTTTTCCTTCTAGAAATTTGTAAAATCATGCATGATCTTCAAAACATGGTTTTTGTTTTTCAGGTCTGCATACATTTTTGTGTGAGTCCTTGTGTCGTTTCAGACATCATGAACTGATTCAGCTGTTGTGTGCCACACCCGACCATCGAAGTATTAACTCAGCGACAGTGGAAAGCAAATCATTGTTAAATTTCAGAAACTATGTGAATGATAATTTGTGCGATATCCATCGTGATATCCCAGAGCCATCATCAAAACTGCGTTTTCCAATCGTTCACCTTGCCTGTCTTCTTGGTAAATACAAGGCATTAGAAGAACTGTCCAAAATTGGTTTTGATCCTGTGAGCCAGACGTCAAAAACCAAAGAGACACCTTTACATATGGTCATGCGGTTAATACGTCATTTTGAAGGAACGACGCATAATCTCTTTCTGTCTGATGTTGTTGTAAACATCTTGAAGACTTTGAGTCGCACAACTTCTGTAAAGGTTTTGTTGTCAATCAAAGATTGCAGAGGAAATACAGTTTTTCATTCTTTAGCGGAATTGATGGGTCAGAGGAAGCTGCCCTTATCGGCAGCAATGTTTCTTGTATACATGTTCAGAGTCTTTGTCCATTTTCTTCTGAAAGATCTAAGTTCTTCAGAGGTTCGGTCGGCATTGTGGAGTTCTTTAAAGGAGAGAAACGATATTGGGCAATCTGTTGAGTTATTATTAATGAGAAGTCTGCATGGCGCACCTCTGTTGAAGTTCCTCCAACATCATCTATGTGGTACAAGGGAGAGCTCAAGGGGTAAGTCAAATATAGAAGGGCGTGGCCGAGTGGGTACGCTTGTCCCAAGTTCGAGTCCCGCTCGGTTGCCTTTGAATCTAAGTTACCATATATAGCATATGGGAGTGATTCAAAAGTAGTACAAGAGGGTTGGGTTGTATGGTGAATTTAGTCTCAGCTCAGTTATCCGAGACAGGTGAACCGAAGTGTTGCTTACTAAGTGATAATACGGGATGGGAACATGGTAGACCTAAGGTCGTTGTCTTACCGTTATTTGTTTTATTCTCAGTAAATAGCGCACTGAAGCATGAAGAAGTTTGTGTGAAACCTGAGTCAGATGAAACCTCGCCTGGAGCTCTAAAAGAAAATCAAGGGCTACTCACATCTTCAGACAGCATCACGACCGCTGATCCTTCAACCGACTCGCACGCACACTTACTAAGCGGGACAAGACATGCAAGTATTGTGGATTTTATTCTTTCTACTCAGTGTGCAATCAGCAACTCAGAAAAAAGAACCATTTTGGCACAATTCCGTGCGGAGTACGACAAAAGACTCAAGTCTATGGAGAAAAGGGTTTTGGACGTGAAACAGCTTCTACCACAGACGCCACGACAACTTAAATTAAAACGAAATAATTTGATGAAAGAAGCTCGTAAGGTCAAATCGAGAATTAGTTGGAATACAGGGGCAATGCGGAAAGCTATAGATAAAAGGAATAAACAGCGACGAGAGTATAACAAGATTAATGAAACAATCAGTTTGGTCCATGAACTGAAGAAAGTTATCTATGGGTAAATTATTTGTCCGCACTTATCTTGTTTAAGTGTGAAAAGTGAGAATATACGTCCAAGATTCGTCACATCGGAACTCAGAGCTCGAACATTCCATCCCTGCTGAAAGATTTAAAAGTTGTCAAGCTTATAATATCGTGGAAGAGTAGATCTTCCACTTAAAGTCGTGTGAAATATGAAATTTCGTTCTTTAGTACAAAGATGTAGATAATTTTTAGCATGGTACGTTGCGTTTTTTCTTTTTTTGTAGACCACGTGTAAAGAAATTTATTAGTGTAATTTGTTAACGTAAAGTGCAAAATTATACTGAACGGAATGCCACAGAAGATGTGTTGTTAAAATTACCTCGATAGATCTGGGCGGTTCTTAGATGGTCCTTTGTCAGGGCAAAACCTTCGCTCTGACGAAGAGCTAACGCTCGAAACGTCAGCTTAGAAAGTCTTTAAAAGGCCAATTTACATTATCATTCAGCTGAAAAAACCAAATTACCTTGTTATACTTCCCCACCGACGCAACACCACAGTTTCTTTAGAAACTTACGGTCCTCCCTTGTGACAAATAATTTTAGTTCATTGTTATAATCTAATTTGCGCTTCTCTCCCAGTGTCCAACGTATTATCTTTATTTATACAAACTTAACAATTTTAATCGTTGGTATGTCTTTATGAGTTGTTCTTAAACAGAACAGGATCGATCAACTCGTCTAAAATGAAAACAAAATCGATTCGACATTGCATGTATTTCCATCTGTACTTGTGACAGATTTTTTTTAACATACCCTTACATTCTGAGGGTCTCAATGAGGTGATGGCTTTTAAATTTGGCCACTTTAGGTTAACAGTTAATTTCTTTCCGTCACGGTTAAGGGAAAATATTTTACGGTCAACTTTTTCACGTGTAAATGTTAAAATTTGTCAATTTTTTACGCCTGACGGCCATTTTTTTGAAACGCCATTGAGATCCTCCATTTTACGTCTACATCTACAACTATGAAGTTGGTAAAAGCTGTGCAGACATCACACCAACTATTGTTATACAAAGATATAAAGAATATACAATACTCGCATGAAATTAATGAAGAAATTCGGATAGTAATTTTATAACTGTTTTATTTAAAATAGAAGGATATGAAATAAATTTGCCTAGTGATGGTTAACTAAATAGAGGAGTAACTTAGAGTTAAGGATAGTATGGTCTCCCGCCACAATTACGTTGTTTGAATTCAATCTATCACCCACTTCGAATAGAGATGAGTCAAATTCTTGAAGACTATGCATATCATTCATGTTGAGACGATAGAAGGAGGCAAGGAATAATGATTTTGATTCATTATTTTGAATCTGAGTCCAGATAATCTCACAATCGATACTTAGGTCGTCTCGATGAGTAACATCCTTTTTCACAGCTTGGAAAACACCTCCATGGTTGTCAGTCAGCTTATCTTTCCGAAAGATGATATAGTAATCTGGAAAAATTTCGTTGTTCTTGATACCCGGACGTAGCCAGGATTAATTACCGAGGATTATATCTGGCTTGTATTCCTCGACATTTTGGTTACCTTTAAGAGGTTTGGTACAAACACCTCAAGGATGCTTATAATGAGGACCTGAATTCCTTTCAGTTTTGCCACCAAGCAATAGTAACATTAGAAGAAGTCGCCGGAAAGTATCCTTTGAAGACGGAGCAAAGATGGCGGAACTAACGAGGTCGGAAAGAACGATTTACGGCCGCCTCAAGTCCTCCCCGAATGGTCTGTTTGGAGATCAGAGTTATATTTAAGCCAAAGTCGATGTACTTTTCCTGAAATCCATGCGAACTTGATAGTATTGAAAGCAAATGTATCCCGAATAGGAGCAAAATCGCCACCTGAGCAAGAAGACGTGTCACACCTAACTGTCTACTGACAGACTAAACTCTGCCTCAGATCGTGTTAACTTAATTGATCTATCTGGTATGCCTTGAAACATTCGATTGACTCTTACCGTTGCAATTTCCGCAACTATCTTAAATCAGTAATCATTCTCGACCCACTTTTTTAAAAATTCCTTTTGGTGTACGATTTCAAAAAGCCCTTGGTGCGCGTTGCGGTCCTAGCTCTAAAAAAATCACTGACTCGTTCCTAATATGTAAGACCCGAGAAAAAGAATCATATAAATGCGTGCTGCTTTTGTTTTCACTTATGATTCTTCCCATTAAGCAATTTGTGTGTCGTTTGCATAAATCTATATAAACTCTTTAGCAGTCATAAAGTGGTTCTTAAGCCATAGTACAGAGTACCCTTCCTGAAACGAAAACTACTAGTTTATCGCTATCTCTGAACATAGTGCTCACTCATTGCCTTAAAAGGGAACGATAAAAATTTGCACAGGCAATTAAAGATCTGTTGTTAAAGTTATCATGTTTTATCCGTTGCTGTGGGGATGGTTATAAAGTTTACTTCGTTACGCAGGATCGTACTCAAAGACCCGTGAAATGACGTCACAACACTAGCCCTCGCGATAGTAAGTCATATTTCTTGGTGAAATATTCTACCGACTTTGTGTCGGGTTGTCCTTGATGACCTTTTAATTCGACTAGAACGATCTACTCTGCGTTTCTCACCCTCCAACTGTTTTTAATGGCCGCGTGGAACTGATTTAGATTTCTCTTGCTGTTGGAAATTTTTTAAATTTCCGTGTGATAGTAGGAGTGCGACTCGTGAAGTTTGTCGTTTGATCGAAGCAAGCTGTTTTTAAGTTTGGGTTTGAGGTTAGTGACTTTCAGTCAGAATGAGTGACAAAGTAGCTTCTGAAAAGCTTGAGGCCGATGAACAAAACCCAGTCGATAACGTTACAGGGGAAGAGTCCGCTATTCGCCCAGCAAAGAAAGCAAAGAAGAAAGGTAAAGGAAAGAAACGTAGAGAATCAGTCGAGTCCAGAGGCGAAGACGACGAAGGAGAAATTTCACTTAAAAGGAAAGGAAGGAAAAAAGTACTTTCTAAAGAGAATGTATCGTCTGATGTGCAACAAAAAGTCGAAGCTGAAGGCGACGATAAAAAGTTGGAAGCTTCGGTCACCGTAGATGAAGGACTAAAGGAAACAGTGATCGAGATACAAGCAGGCGAGAATCAGCCGGATGAACTTGAAGAAGTCGTAGTCAAGAAGGAATCGGCTTTTATCGAAGGAGACAACAAAGCTCAAGAAGCTGGGGATTCAGCTGAGGCCAGCGGGGAAGAAAAGAACGATGAAAAGAAAGACAGCGAAGAAGAGTCGAAAGATGTCGAGAGCCCGACTGTACGTAGGAGAGCGACGTTGTCTGATTTACGAAGTGAAAGCATTGACAAACAGGACGGAGAGAAAGCTGGAACTACAGAGGCGGCTTCTGAGGTACGATTTTACTTCCAGCAACTGTATTTTGAAGAATCATAGGTTGATGAATGTAACTTAAAAATTTAATTCAAGTCTGACTGAGACTGGTCTGTCAAACTGTTAGTCCAGGAATTCTTGATTTCACTTTCGTGAAGTCCATTCCGGATTGGAAGGAGCAACTGCAGAATACCCTGCCACCTCGGTCTAACTCATGTAAATGTGTCGAGCGGCTTTGAAGATCGCGGCATGACACAATAAACGTTATTCTTATTCAATGACATGTAAATGAGTGCCAGGGTATTCTGCAGCTTAGCTCTCACTTTCATTTCCAGGTTACATGTAGTACCTTGAGGACATTTCTTGAATGTATTTCTTTTAAGTGATATTTCACTCTTGTCATTTATTAATGTAAGCTGATTGGTTCACTTTGTTGGTATTTGTGTTCACTAAGTTATAAATTTATGGTATTGAGTACCCTTTAAGGCAAATGCAGAAGAATTTATTGTGGTGATACACAAGATATCCATAGTTTTTTTTTTAAACTATATAAGTATGTTGGTCGCGTGAGTTTTAGCCTAGGCCAGTTTTCCTGGTACATTTTGACAATAAGAAAAATTTCAACTAAACTTAAGATTTCCAGAGTCAGGTCACAGTTTTCATTTACTCAATGAAGCTGTGACACCTTTACAACTTAATGATTTGAACTCTAAGATGGAATTTACATATGAGCCTGGAAATGAAAACTGCACACCCTTTTAATGTAAGAATGTGTTACCAGGAAGGTCAATACAAGTACATGCATGGTAACAGATTGTAAAGCTAAATTGAAACTGGCCTGCAGCTGTGTCAAAACTCACCTCAACTCCTTAGCCATAAACTTCCACCTATGGTTTGTTTCTGATGATGCCAGCTGTAAAGTGTTGGGGGCAAGGATAGGAGGTGTTCTGTAACAAGTCACTGTACACTTCTGCATTATCTTCCAGGATCTCAAACCTGTCAAAGAAGAGGAGAGCATAGAAGTGAAGATAGAAGTGGAACCTGATGACAAGCAGAACAATGAAGATGAAAAAGGAAAAGAAACAGAGGAAGATCCAAATACAGTGAAAAAATTGGAGGAAAAACCAGTAGAGGCTGCTGCAGAGACAGCTGATAGTGTAGAGCATGTTGCTGTGCCTATTGAGGGAAATACTGAGGAAGAAAAGAAGGAGGTAAAATTTGAGAATGTAGAGGGTGGAGATGGTGAGGTCAGAACAGACCATGCTAAGGAAGAGGAAGCAGAACCAAGACAAGAACAGACTATGCCACTGATCAGTGAGACTGTGGTCACCAATGAAACAGAGACAAGTGAAGATTACTCAAAGTATCAGCTTGACGATGAGTTGCCTTGGGCCATTTATCGTTCAATGGATACTCCTCCGCAGAAAAATCCCATAGAGGAAGATGATGATTGGCCAGCGTCTGAGGATGATGAAGATTATGGTAATATGTTGTTTCACTTAAGTGTGGTCAGCAAGCTAATGGAAAAATTTGCATCAGAAACAATATTATCATATCATTTTTAGGGCTTCCTCTATTCCAAGAAATTAATGATTTGACCTTACAAGCTTCTTTCTCCAGATTCTTTTATTTTAATGAAAATGTTCTATCTTAAGTGGTAATAGCTGTTTCACATGCGAAACCCTTTTCTCCAAGGACTCAAGTCTTTTATCATACTCTGTATTGTGCCAAAATGGTTCTTTTTCTGAGTTGCTGATTTCACACTGAGACAAAAGTGATTGTGATCACAATTAATGAAAAACAATTGAATTCTAAACTAGGTTGAATTATTTCTTTGCTGGTGTAGTTGTTGTTTAGGAATGTGGCATCAGAATATCAGTCTTGAAATCAGCAATTTTCAGTTTAGTGTAGAAACATTTTAATTAATTTTTTTTATTGCATAATTTTTCATGATCCAAATCTGTTCCATTATAGCACCACCCAAGAATGAGGATCTCCCTGACCTAGACATGTTGATGGGAACATTAGATGGAGGAGAATCTGAACTGGAGACAACCGCATCACCCCCACCACTCATACTTCCTGAGGAGAAGCATGCCAAGCAGCGACGCATTGATGAGCTCAAGCAAGGGCTTGCTAATGAGCCAATTGAACTTTATGATGAAGAGTTTGAGAAGAGAATGGAAGATGAAGTACTAATGATTGGAAACATTTCACTAGAGATGGTTCAGGTATAACATAAAAAGGTTAAATTTTTATTGTAAAAATTTTCTACTAGTTCAATTCTTACATTTGCTTTGTTTCATGATAATGATCAAATGATAAGGAATAGCATGCAAATCACAATTGCTTACAGTATACCAGTAGCTTCCCAATTTATACAGTGAGTGTTTTGAGCTTTTTGTGTTACCTTATACAATTATATTGCATGGCAATACTTCCTCCTTCCTTCCTTAGTGGAGGCACT